AAGCGAGCCCAAAAAGATATGTTTTGACAAAAAATGTGCGCACCCCTCCTGGCTATGTCTATGTTTTCAGTCGATTAATTAGTAAATGTTAATGATTTTATTAATGCATGTTCATATAAATAAAAAGTTCTAAATTATCTAAAATTTGATTTCAAAAGATGTCTTCAGTTAAATAATAGTGACAACTTGATGAATTATCCTTGAGCTTAACTGTTTTTTTTAATACTTTTACAACTTTCTATTCAAAGTATCATGCAAAATGCTAGATTTTCAGAAATGAATGACTTAAATTATTCATCATAAAAAAATTAAAATAGACATTGCACAAATGAATAGGGTTGAGTTTTACAGGGTTGAGTTGACTTGGGGTTGAGTTTTACTGGGGTCGACTTGACTTGGGGTTGAGTTGACTTGGAGTTGAGTTGGACTGGGTTGAGATGACTTGGGGTTGAGATGACCTGTCACCTATACTGCTACCAATTTGTATTTCATTTAGAGGAGATAAGTCCTCTCCTTTCATAAAAAAATTAAAAATTGTTGTAAAAGCCCATGTAACAAACATATGAGAAACGAAAGTGCAACATATATTTGGCAAAAAAATGTTTCAGATTTCAGTTTTTTCACTAAACTTTTTACTGTTGTGTTAACCAAGACATTATGCTATAATATTAAAAACCTTTTTACTGAATGTAAGATTTTGTTAATAAGTGTTCTGACAGTTTAAAATATTAATGTCACATCCGTAATCAAAATTTAGTCATTGATAGAACATGATGCCAATTTTTTTCCAGCAATAATACTTTAAAATCCTTCTGGAATTATCAAGGTAATATATTATATTTTATTTTAAAAAGATACAATGATTTAAAAGATTTTCTAATGTCTAAATTTGACCCTGTTTGCAACATACTGATGCAGAATACTGTGATTTGGCTGTGTACAAGGGGTGTGAATGTACTTGAAGAATAAATGTATATAATGAATTCTTGGGATTCATCCACTGTGCAGCGTTTGAGGTGTGAAATTTCCACAGTCCCTGTTCATACTAATCTTCAGAGGTTAAATTCACGTGTAGTCAGAGAAAAGAAGCCCTTATACAGTTTCATAAGTCAGCTATAGCTGATCATACAACACAGAACAATTGTGTGATCGATTGGGATTCTGTCAGGACATTGGACAATGGGAGCAATAGAGATATTAGATAGATTAAGGAATCAATTTTTATAAGAAAAAACAGTAATAGTATGAACAGGGACTGGGGAAATTTCAAACTCTCACATGTTTGGGACCCTATTTTATATAAAGATCAGCACCATGGTGATAAGGATCGTTCTGACGTCACAAGATAAGATCGGGTCCCACGACAAAAGTTCAAATTCTGAGGAAGAAACACGAGGTGTTTTCGAAACGTCAATAAACAATAAATTTAAGGTTGCATAAAACAGTAACAGTTATGGATATAAAAATTAATTACCAACCTGAAGAAACATGTTCAGTATCTCAAATACTAATTGACAGATTGGGCTCAATTTTGTATGCTGATGCCTTGGGACAAATGAGTTTTGTTCAAGAAGAGATTTTCAAGATGGCTGCTTTTCAAAATTGCCACCATTTTTTGAAAAAAAACTTATTTTTGAAAACTCAAATACAAGTGAATGGATTTTGTTCAAATTTTATATGCTGATGCCTAGGGACACAGTAGTTCTGCTCTGTTTGAGAAAGAATTTTCAAGATGGCCGCTTAATTTGAAAATGGCCGCCATTTTTCGTAGAAGAATGTAATCTTTGATAACTCAAATACCAGTTGATGGATTTGGTTCAAACTTATTATGCCTATACCTAGAGACAAAGGAGCTCTGCTCAACAAGACATTTTCAAGATGCCCATTGAATTTCAAAATGACTGCCAATTTTTGTTAAAAAAACTGTTTTTGATAAATCAAAATACCAGTGTTTGGTTTGGTTCTTTTATATACTGATGCCTAGGGACAAAGGAGCTTACTCTAGAAGAAACTTTTAAGATGACAGCTGAATTTCAAAATGGCTGCCACTTTTTCATATAAAAAAACGTTATCTGTTATAAATCAAATACCAGTGGATAGATTTTATATGGTGATACTTAGAGATAAGGGACCTCTGCTCAAGAAAATTTTTCAAGATGGCCGCTATTTATCAAAATGGCCACCATTTGTTGTTAAAAATGTAATCTTTGATAACCCAAATACTAGTTGATGGATTTGGTTCAAATTTTATATGCTGGTACCTAGAGACAAAGGAGTTCTTCTCAAAAGATATTTTCAAGATGGCAGGTGAATTTCAAAATGGCTGCCATTTTTTGGAAAAATCTTTGATAACTCAAATACCAGTGGACAGATTTGGTTCAGATTTTATATGCTGATACCTATAGAGACAAGGGAGCTCTATTCAAGAGGAAATTTTCAAGATAGATGCTATTATCAAAATATGATTTATTTGGTGGGATTTAATACTCTGTGGAGTTGCTGTTTTTTTCGAGAGTAATTTGATGAATTTTGAAATTTGGTGGTCATTTGACAAAAATCAGTATATTTCTTTATGACAAAAATTGTAAAAGTTGTAATGAAAGTATGCAAAATGTTCTTTATATAAATATGACAAAACCAATATCAAATTATATTTCAATGATTTTATTTATTCATATTATACACTTTAGATCAAACAACTTCAGTTTTATTCTTTAATTGTCTTCTTTATCTTTATTTGTCATCATCGCATTTATACCAGCAATCGGAGTGGGCTATTCTACAGTCTACTTTATCATCTTCGCTCCCTGTTATGCATTTATATTTTTTGTTGCATTTCATCTGGCAGGGGGACTGGTTACTATAATAGTAGTCATTGTAATTGTCTTCATTTTTACCCGGACTTGCGCTGGTAACAATCGCCATCGACACAAGTAGCATAGCCAGAATCGCAACACGCTTCATTTTGTCCCTTAGAAGCATAAATATAACATATAATCTTTAGGTTATTTGTTCATAGTGATATTAGTTACTCTTGCATCGAGCCTTTATAATCCTTTCTAACTAAGCTTGCTTTTACTAATGTAACTTTCGGCTGTCGGCTACTGGGTTAACCTACCGTTTTATGGGCAACTCATTTAAGTATGAATAGTACCTGCCATTATTCCATTCATATTTAAATGAGTTGCTCATCAAATAGTATGTTAATTCAGTAGCCAACAGCCAAAAGTTGCATTTGTGAATACAAGCTTTGACAAGGAGAACAGGAGAAAGCATTGGGATTGATGCAAAATGAATCCAATGTAAATGCAACAATATTTTTCATCATTTTTTGTTATTTAACAATAGTAATACCTAAAAATTAGTAAAAATAGTTTTATTCATAATTTACCTTTTCGAATCCTGTATAAATATTATATAATATACTTTTAACTAACTTTAAAAATGATCATAGTTAAATGAATTAAAACCTACCTCAAATTTTCCTTGTTAAATAGATAAATTTCTATTTGGGAATGTAATTTGAAATTGACCAAACTCTTGTTATTTTTATACTCCCTTTTGAGATAGTACCATCTGGTATAATAATTTATATAAATGGTAGTGATCTCAAATTTATAAGTGAGTCAATGTCCTTCGGGATAATTTTATTTTCAATTAAATGAATCAATCTTCAGCATGCCTGGACATTTGGGTAATTTGAAAAAGTGTAACATCTAATGAATTGGATACCTGGTGCTCAATTCAGCTTCTACACTGGGGAATAGTGTAGTGTAGTGTAGTGTAGTGTAGTGCTCATTTGTATTTGTTACATTTTTGCCTCACTCCAGTATCAAAAAAACAACAAATTGCATCAAATGGGTATATCTAAGTGGAATTTTGAGTGTGTTGATCAAAGTCTACAAAAAACTGGTCGACACTGATTATCGCCATCAAAGCAGAAGGCATCAAAAATTTTATGAAGGTGCACAGTAGTAAAGGGGTTAAAACATTGATTTTTTGTTTATTTTGCTAAAATCCTCTATCTGTTTCATAAATTTTACATCATTTCATAAATGAATACGTTTTTTTTTATATTGATCTCAATTGACACAATTCTCTATTATGCTCCTGAATTATTGTATTATTAATATATACCATATTATGACTAAAATTGGGGAAGGTTATTTTAATTACACATGTATTGTAGAATTAGTAGGAGTGTTAAAGTAATTGAATGGCTAAGCAAAATCATTAACATTAAGAATTAGGATAACATTCACTTACTTTAGTATAATAGAAATAATTGTGATGGTTCCTTCATTGTCCAGGGCTCTCGCTAGGCTTTTAGACTATGGCGCAGCACTACAGTCTATCTCCCACCACGGTCTATTGGCGAATCTTGATTGTTTCCACAGTCTAAACTTGACGAAATTCACAACAATTTGCACTAAATAGCATGTAAAAAAGGATAAACTATACCATAAACATGATTTATCATGACTGAACGGTTTTGCTGAAGATGTTTCCACCACACCCTAAACATTTCCTGGTGAAAGACCTGTTGTCCATTTGTTAATAGCATATTGAATTCTGTCTTTTTGGAACATTTATGGGGAGAGAGTTTTTACTAGAGGAGTGCACTTCAGAGAGCTGTTTATTAGAAATAAGTGTTGTTCAATAGAAAAGGTGTTCATGAAAGAGGTGTTCATATGGGAATAGTATTTACTGGAAACAGGTATACATGAGAGAGGTTTTCGCTAAAGAGCAGTGTTCAGTAGAAACAGGTGTTCACAAGAGAGATATTGACTAGAATCAGGTGTTCACAAAAAAAGTGTTCAATACAAGTATTTGATAAAGACAAGTGTCTACTTGAAAGTCTAGAGAGACATATTTATTTACGCTTTGTAAATTGTAAACCATTATTCACTACAGAGAGGTACTTAATACAGGGAGGTAGCCAGTACAAAGAGGTTTTCTTTACACTGTTACTTAATGCATATGATATTAATGTTTTCCAGGAAAATGGGCACTAGAAGAATCCATAGAAAAAGAGATAGATGGCGATATTGGTCTTGTGCTGAAAGTAAGTTTTGTATAAGTTTCTTTTTCTTGTATATGCATATTGATCATTCTCTCACTATTTTAGCCAAAATATTTATTCTAATTTATTGAATACTATAAAATATAAAAAAGGTGATCCAGTTTCAAACCTGTCAATTAAAAAAACACGAACTCCTATGCAGTGTCTCGGTATAGACACTGCGGCGGGCAGATTATGGAATCCCCAAAAATTGGGGAAGATAGTCCCCCTTTTTGTCACAGATGTACTTGTTTTTCACACAACTTATAAAATATATGTTCTTTTATGTTCATCAATAATTATTTTGTCAAAATATTCCAAAATCAATGAAATATAAGAGCAAATCCCCGCGGAAGGAATCTGAGTAAAAGTTGTGTTGATAAAAGTTTACCGCACGTGTTGTTTATTAGTTAATACGCGCAATTCAACCAATGAAATTGTCTAAATTTTACAATCACGCGACCTGAGCATGGGACTAGAACCAATCACGTCAGTTGTTTATTACGATGTTACCATGCTTACGGTGAGACACCTGCCCGCCGCAGTGATATATCACTGCACGGGAGTTCGAAAAAAACAGGATTTTTTTTTTAAATCTGGGTGAAAACCGGGATTTCTATTTGAAATTTGATAGAAAATTGGGAGAAAATCAAAGTTTAAAATAAATCTGAAACTGAATAGACAATTCAAAAAAAATCAGAAGAAAATCTGGATTGGTAAAAAAATCAAAAGAAATATCAGGGTTTACAAAAAGTAATTCAAGAAGTCAGGAGTCTTTAACAAAAATGTGTTTCGTTGAAAAATGAGTTTTTTATGAAAAATCGTAGGATTATATGATTTTAGAAAATTAGTTTTTACTCTTGCTATAAAACAATTACTCTGTGTAAAAAATAAAAATTACATTACTTTATTACCTGGCACCTTTAGAAATGCAAATACTGTATGCATGTTGTGACATAATTTCTTGTTTCTTTTTAGTCAAAGGCCAGGCTACATGCAATCTCAACCAAACTTAATAAACCATATAAGTTTGATGGCTCACCTCTTATTGTACAGTAAGTTGAACTTGAAATATCATTTTCTACCATATGTGAAATATTTCTCAATTATAGAGCATTTCATTGTTTTAAATCAACAGAAGACGTTTTTATACTGAATGGTTAGGGTATGTTTTAGTACCCTGCGCGCAGAGTCTAGTTATTAACTACCCTCTCTCTAGTAGGCGATCACAAATTATAAATTTATAATGGTGTGAGGATAACATTAAGGATAGAATCGAACCTTATATTGTTTGTTTCAGATGCAGTTAAGTTTTCATGCCCCAAATTACTCAAGTTACACAGCCTACCTAAGTTATGATATTGTCCCTGGTTTATAAAATAATCCCCCATATACAAAAAATTGTGAAAATGGCAAATCAGATAGCGCTAAATTAACCCAAATTTGGAAGTATCTTTGTATTACTTCAATTTATATCCATATTATACTTGTAGATATGAGGTACGTTTCCAAGATGGTCAAGAATGTGGAGGTGCCTATGTGAAACTACTAACAGATAACAAACAGCTTGATCTGGTATGTGTATAGAATACTTCTCATGCAATCCCCTCTTACTACCTTCAATATGCATTGAACTTCCATCTTCATTTTAATCAAGGAGCTGCTAGATATATTTGCTTGTGACTGACTTGTGACTTTGACTTGTGACATGTGACTGTGACTTGTGACTGTGACTTGTGACTGTGACTTGTGACTAACCAGACATTACTATTAACACACAGGTAAAATATCTGCCCTCTGATGGGCATTTGAATACTGTACTCCGGGTATTGTTCGCGTGAAATTTTTAAAAATCGCGAAATTTTATAGCGTCGAAATTTACCAGGAGTACAGTACCCATTACATAACAATTTACAACTAATACATTTTCATATTGATCGTTCCAGAAAACCTACAATGACAAGATGCCTTATACCATTATGTTTGGACCTGATAAGTGTGGGAACGACCACAAACTTCACTTCATCTTTAGGCACAAGAACCCAAAAACTGGCGAATTTGAGGTATGGGATTTTATGATATGTAAATTAATATGTCAGCTTTTAAATGTATATAATGTATTGTTAACCGTTATATACACATTATTTCCATGACAGATTAAAAAACATGTAGCGTTCTCTTTTGTATGCTGTCTGCAAACTTGTATGATTATTTAGGTAATCATGAGGGTTTAAAAGTACAACGAAATAAATAAACAGACTACTTGAAAACAGGAAATTCTAATATAAATAGAAACAAGAGCTCACCCATATGAGCTAAAACATAGCATAATTTGTAAAAAATTGTAAATAATTTGTAGATGATTGAAATTCTAAATTGATAATCTCCCAGTTGATGAGACATATTGAAATAATTCTATACTTAATTCTTTCTTTGATTCTCATTTCAGGAGAAACATGCCAAGAAGCCAACAGTCAGTTTGGACAAGTTTTTCACAGACAAGAAAACTCATCTGTTCACCTTGTCTCTTTTCCCAGACAACACTTGGGAAATCTTTGTTGATCAAGAACTTGTCAACTCTGGAAGCCTTCTTGAAGATATGGAGTAAGTGGTACCATTTTCATTTTCAAAATAAGCTTAACTCCTTGAGAAAGAGATAATCCTTTGATTTTGCCCTGCCCAGTTGGATTGGGTTTCTCACAACTAAGCTACCCAGTTAGAACTGTATACCTTCATAAGTAGCTGGCATTCATGATTAAAAAAGGATCTTATTTGCAGTTTAACTGTTCTAGGCAGAGAATTTTTTTTTCTTAAGTGCATATCATTTCAGAAAATTTCCTTCAAAAGCATGAAAAAAGTCACATTAAGAACTCAGCCCTCCATTGAGTTTTTGATTTTAAAAGATTAAAAAGCAAATCACATTGATACAGAGATTGATGTAATTGCTGTGTATTACAGGCCAGCTGTTAACCCTCCAGAGGAAATTGTGGACCCAGATGATAAGAAACCTGAAGACTGGGATGACAAAGAGAAGTAAGTGAAAGAAATGAAAATTACACCCATGAATAAAAAACTACATTGCCAATAACGTGTCCCAAATTTTAAATGGCTATTTTTGTGAAAACATACAGGATTATACGTAGTCACCTGTTTTGTGTAACTGACATCCGGCATCTATTTTTGTATTGAGTGGAACCAAGTTGTGACATTTTGAAAATGTATTTCCATGTTGTTTTTTTTAAAAACCATATAAAACATCAATAAATTGTCTAAAATATCATTAATTCTGGTTCTTAAGATTATACAATAGTTATTCTATTTAAACCCAAACAAATGTGAATTGACATGCTTTAAGTGATATTTTGCATTATTTTAGTAATTTAATTTTCAGTATTTTAGCAATATCCATATTTCAAAACCATAAAATTGCTATTAATGTTGTTGGCAATCGGACAAAGCCTAATTGATGTTTTTACAGAAAGTTATATTTCTTTATTTCAACTCAAAATTGTTTAAAGGCCCCATGTAAAGTAAAAAATATGTTTTAATCATTCATTTACTAAATTTTATATGTTGCCTTTAAAGGATTCCTGACCCTGATGCTGTCAAACCTGAAGATTGGGATGAGAGTGAACCAGAGATGATTGAAGACATTGATGCTGTTAAACCTGATGGTTGGTTAGATGATGAAGAGCCTCTTATAGCAGACCCTGATGCTGAGAAACCAAGCGATTGGTGAGTTGAACTGAATAGAAATAATTTGGAATCATAGCTATTGGGTTAGCGTAGAGGAGGACTCAATCCTAACTGTATGGATAATATTGATGTTCGGCAACTTCCATTGATTACCAAGTTTTTGATGACACTTGATTTCATGTTGCTGAGTTTAGATGGACTGGGTTGAGACATCAGTTTCTGTTAAATCGTATGCATTAATGTTTACATTTTTGGTTTGGAGCCAAAAGTGCTAAAGTCAAAATAAAATATTTTAACAGATATTGATTTATTCACTTGACCCCTCATGAAAATCTTTTTTAAAACAGGGGTGATGAAATGGAGCTAAAGTCAAAATAAACTATTTTTAAAAAGATATAATTTATTTATTTACTTGACCCCTTATGAAAAAATTTTTAAACACAGGCATGATGAAATAAAGCTTAAGTCAAAATAAACTATTTTTAAAAAATATATTAATTCATTTATTTAACTGACCCCTTCTCAAAAATTAATTCTTCATCACAGGGATGATGAGATGGATGGAGAATGGGAAGCACCAATGATAGACAACCCGCTATGTGCCAGTGCCCCAGGATGTGGCGAGTGGACCACCCCCCAGATCAAGAACCCCCTCTATAAGGGCAAGTGGTACGCTCCTAAGATCGACAACCCCAACTATAAGGGAAAATGGAAGCCTAGGATGATAAAGAACCCAAATTACTTTGAAGATGAGGAGCCTTATAAAATGACACCTTTTGTAAGTATAACATGTACAGGGTGTTCAAAAAAATTGGCCAAAAATAATCTCAACTAACTAGAAAACTGTAAATGATGTAAATGAACTCCATACTTCTGTACTCTTATCTGTCATGCACACTTAGAGATAAAGTGTATGATAAAGAAATATATACCTTGTAAGGTTTAGACGTTGTTTGACGTAGCTCAAAAATCCTTCATTATGAAGATTTTTGTCAATATGCAACGTACATGATTTAATCAAGGCATCATGTCTATCGTGGTTCGAAAGTGGTCACACTTAAAAAATAGCTTGTTTCAATGAATGTGTTATTTTTATATTGCTTTGTTGATTGATGCTCCCCATGGAGGGGTTTACTCCATTATTAGCTGCTATGTAACTCTAATCAATGTTTATGCATTACAATTCCAGAGTGCTCTTAGACTGGAGCTATGGACCATTTCCAACAATCTTCGTAACAATTAATTTTGTGCCTTTGTAACACCCCAGATCCTTTTAGATGCTTTTTGTTAAATTGCTTCACTACAAAGCAATTAAATGTGCTATGTTATGTAACTCTAACCATGTGATGCATTACAATTCCAGAGTGCTCTAGGACTGGAGCTATGGACCATTTCCAACAATCTTCGTAACAATTAATTTTGTGCCTTTGTAACACCCCAGATCCTTTAAGATGCTTTTTGTTAAATTGCTTCACTACAAAGCAATTAAATGTGCTACGTAATGTAACTCTAACCATGTGATGCTTGTAATTCCAGAGTGCTCTAGGACTGGAACTATGGACCATTTCCAACAATCTTCGTAACAATTAATTTTGTGCCTTTGTAACACCCCAGATCCTTTTAGATGCTTTTTGTTAAATTGCTTCACTACAAAGCAATTAAATCTGCTACGTAACTCTAACCATGTGATGCATTACAATTCCAGAGTGCTCTAGGACTGGAGCTCTGGTCAATTTCAAACAATCTTCTGTTCGACAACTTCCTGATCATTGATGACAAGTCTGTGGCTGACAAATGGGCTGCTGAAAGCTGGAAGATCAAACAGGACCAGGAATTCCGCAGAGAGAGCAATGCAGCTGTGAGTAGCAGAAGAATATATTTTGGGCTGTTCAGTTCATTCCATATATAAATGTTATAAAATGTTATATAAACAAATGATTCAATAATTTTCACCAATTTTACAATGTTAAATGGATAAGAATAAATGTTGGAATTACTTTTTCGTAATTTTATCTCAAATTAAGAACATTAAACAAAAAAATAATATATACCATGTCTTTAATGTTAAAGGAAAAATACAGTTACAGATATCAAGATTGAATTCTGAATATTCATTAATTTAAAATCGATATATTAACTGTAACAGTGTAAACAATAGTTTTGATGTTGATTTAGATTTTTAGGAGAAATACTCTCTGGACTTGATAAGGAAACTAACCTTTTTATTATATTCATTGTTTCTGTTTTAGCAAAGTGTTTGGGATGCAATTAAGAGCACAGTTAATGAGAAACCCTGGATATTAGCTGTAATTTGTATCGTTGTGATACTCCCCTTAGTTTTACTCATTGCTTACTGCTGTTCAAGTGGAGAGAAAAAGGTGTGAGAGACAAACTGGAATGTGTTCTTCACATGCCTGAAATTGGACTGTGTTTGCTTCAATGTCTTCTGCTTGCACATCGAACTCCCATGCAGTGTCTCGGTATAGACACTGCGGCGGGCAGATTATGGAATCCCCAAAATTTGGGGAAGATAGTCCCCCTTTTTTGTCACAGATGTACTTGATTTTCATACAACTTATAAAAGATATGTTCTTTTATGTTCACCAATCATTATTTTGTCAAAATATTTCAAAATTATTGAAATATGAGAAGAAATCACCGCGGAAGGAATTCTGAGTAAAAGTTTTGTTGATAATAGTTTACCGCACGTGTTGTTTATTAGTTAATACGCGCAATTCAACCAATGAAATTGTCTAAATTTTACAATCACGCGACCTGAGCATGGGACTAGAACCAATCACGTCAGTTGTTTATTATGAAGTTACCATGCTTACGATGAGATACCTGCCCGCCGCAGTGTTATGTTGAAGACTATCACTGCACGGGAGTTCGCTTGCACATAATACTAATTCCCTTAAAATGTCATTTTGGGCTTGGGATTTGGGATTTGACTGAAATGGAAAATAAATCTTAAAAATTGGTTGAACAAAGAGCATAGGTGACTGCTATATTTTATGTTTTACTTTTTGGATTTTTGCTAAAATGGGAAATCATTCGATACTTTAATTTCACACATTTTTTATTTTCTATTTTTTTTTTGTTTTCAATGAAATTAATGTGACTTGTCCAAAATGACTTTTTGATGTTTTAGTACCAGTGAAAACCTTCATCCAACATTCATTTTGGCATGATGGTTTTTCAGCATGTATATGTAATTCCTCCCTGCTTTTTGTGTGTTTCTAAAATTTTCATTTTATTGTAGTTAATTGTATCACTCCTATATTTTTGTTGGTTTTACTTAAATAAACATTTCTCACAATAGATGACTCTGCTAGAGCTAACACAAGGTGGCAGCACCCGTTGCATGCATGTTTAACATAGTATCCTCCTTTATAAGCTGTGGTTTATAGCTGTAGACTTACTTGTATTTGTGTCGTTTGTAGGGCAACATATTTCAACGTTTTTTCGCCTACGCTAATGACCGCTCTTGGGTGTGGGGCTTGGTTGTGACACTAGCGCTAATACCTTTAGTTATCGCATCTGTCTATTGTTGCCCTACCAAGGGGCCTTTAACGGTAATTTATATATTTACCAACAGTGCCTTGTATACATTATAATGGCAATAGTCGCAACATAATTTTTTCTCAGCTGGGTTTAAAAATTTCATTTTACTTAGTCTGAACATAAAATATTCATTAGTCGCAAAACCCCAGTGTTTTATGATTTTATGAACTTTCAGCAGTGTGCAGCAATCTGTTGCTATGTAACAATCTGTTGCTATGTAGCAATCTGTTGCTAGGTAGCAATCTGTTGCTATTTAGCAATATGTTGCTATGTAGCAATCTGTTGCTTCACAGCAATCTATTGCTGTTCTCCTTACATTTTCAAACTTGAGTTATGAGGAAAAATTCTGACATCGATTTTGTATTGTCATTGTTTTATGACATGCCACATATTAAGTATAGGGGGCACTGTGATAGCATAACCTTTCTCTTTATCTAAGTTTTGCATGGGATATTTGTGATGCTTCCATGTAATTTCTTTCTGTTGTGTGTGTTAGATTTGATGAATTTCAATCTGTAAAAACAAAATATTTCATGTACCTATAAGCTTAATGAGAAAATATTAGAGAAAAAATTTGATAAATAAACTAAGAAATGTATATATAGTAACTGCTTTCACAACTACTAGTATTTATTATAATAATATGCAGCCAATGCATTTATATTTAATGTAATTGATATGCATGAATATGTCCACTAAAACCTGGAGATGAAGATTTTAAACCATTGCCTCACCTTCAGAAAATCAGGTTTTACCGAACGTAAACTAAATCAAAAACTTTACAAATTCTATTAACTAATTTGACCTGTTATCTTTAGCCTGCGGATATAGCTGAACGTAAGAAGACTGATGAAGCCACGCCTGATGTGGACTATGATGAAGATGATGCTTCAGGTGATGCACCATCCAAAGAGTCCCCTAAACCCGCTAAAGGCAAGAAAAAAGGCAAAGGTGCTTTAGATGCTGAGCCTGAGGTAAGTAGAGTGCCCTTCTATTATCATCATGGTTTATACACTGTTACACTGTTACAATTTCATTTCATACACTGTACAGTAAAAACTATGTAAGTAGAACACCTTTGGTTCCTCTTTAAAAGTGCTCCACTTGGGAGTTGTTCCACTTCCAGAGGTTCTTTTAGAGGTCAAGAAACAAGTGTTTCACATGCTTAAGTGTTCCACTTTACAGGTTTCACTGTGTATCAGTGAATTAGTGACACCTAAATAAGCAGGCATCTTCACCAATTTATCTCATAATATACCTGACAACCAAATGTATGATCAAATTATTTTGTCTCATAGTTCATCTAGCTATTAACCAGGTGTATCATAGTATCCCATAATGCATTTGACTTTCAAGCATACGTATATGCCACAGTATCCCATAATATACCTGACAACCAGATGTATGACCAAATTATTCCAATCTGTATCTCACTTTAGGCAGACATATGAACTTATTTGTCCCATAACCTATCTAGTGTAATCAGGTGTATGCAACATCATATCACATAATGCATTTGACTATCAAGCAGACATATGTGCCAATTAAAGTATCCCATGATTGATATACCTGACTCCTAGTTGTACGATCAAATAGGGTAGACATATGTACATAGTTGTCTCATAGTTCATCTAGCTATTAACCAGATGTATGCACCATAGTATCCCATAATGCATTTGACTATAAAGCAGACGTATGTGCCAAACTATCCCAAAACTAGACAATCTAATGTGATGTTTAATATGTGATAATTGCTAATTCTGTACTTAATTATGAAGATGTTTTGTTTCAGGAGGAAGCTGTAGCAGAGGAGGAGGAAGAAGAAGAAGTAGAGGAGGTACCAGAAGAAACAACTAGGTGAGCCCCAGTCATATCAAATTTACCCATAATTCACCTGACTATAAATGTGGTATACACCAAAGCATCCCATAATGCACCCGACTATAAAGCAGATGTATGCATATAGTTGTCCCATAATGCAACTCACTATACACCAAATATATGCACCAAAGTATCCCATAATGCACCTGACTATAAAACAGATGTATGTACTTAGTTGTACCATTATGCATCTGGCTATATACCAGGTATATGCCCCAGTGTCCCAAAGTGCACCTGATTGTAAAATAGATATGTTCTTAGTACACCTGACAGTACACCTGGCTATAAATCAGGTGTCTGCAACATAGTATCCCATAATGCATCAACCTATAAAGCAGGTGTATGAATCCCATAATTCACCTGGCTATTAAATCTTAAATTGCAGAGTTGAAAAAGAAGTAATGTAGCAGAGAGAGTTAACTCACTGAATCGTTTAGAAATGCCAAAAATAAAGAGGCTGAAATATGTTTAATCATTATTATTATTAATATATTATGATGTACCAGACACAAACTAATAAATGAAACATTTTTGGTTCCAGGAAATCACCAAGGAAAAGGAAACCAAGAAAGGAATAACGTTAGCAACAACTAGAAAATAATCAATTTCCATTAGAAAGTATTGAAAGGCATCTCATCATGTGCATTCTCTTAGGTCATAACAAGGATTACGTGGTCAAAAGTAAACATTTATATTCAATTTGTGGATGGAAAAAGTTAAAAGGAAAGGATTGTATAGGCAATACAGACACTCTGTTTTAGGAATATAAGCAGTGTCATTTATTCCAATAATTTTTATGCTTTAACTATGAGCATAAAAAAAGAGGAAGACATTTTGATTTTTGTGTATTTTACAGTGTATCGTGTCATGAAAGATATCCTTTGTGTTTTACTTCACAGTGTAATGTGTATAGTGAAAGATATTCTTTGTTTTACGTTTCACAGTGTATCATGTAATGAAATGTGTCCTTTGAAACCAGCTGTTGTTTTTGTATAAAAATATTACCATGGTAACCATGGATTTTCTTTATTATGTTTAATACAATTTTTGCTGTTTTACATGTCTATTAAAAGTTATATAGTATTCGCATATTATCCAAGGGGTCATTGCTCAAGTTTATTATCATAGTGGATTTACCATCATGAGTTCAACTCTCTTTCCACATAAAATGATCGATAGTTGATATCATGAACCGTTGAATGTTGCCATACTCAAGAAGCAGCCCTTAGTAATAATATATTTAAGTAATTTTTCAGAGAATTACCGCTTACGGGAAAATTTCTTTTCTAAAGATTTGATTGCTCTTTTTATTTTGCTATGTGTTTTAAAGTGTTAAGTTGCAATATATTTGATACAGCATTTTCAACATTCATGTAGATATCTTCAATATTAGTTGTGTAAAAATGTCTATGTATTTAGAATTAAAGTACATGTGTTCAGTGTCCATCGAAATACAAAAAAGGAATGATTAATATTTCTAAAAAAAATGATTTTACAGTAATTATTATAGTGTTTTAGTGTCCTGGAATACTCCAAACTGATAAAAATTCAAGATTTTCTCATCAAACATTACAAACAAATATATGTACTCAATATATGTGTATTGTGCACCATTTAAAGTGTTAATGCATGTAATGATGAGATTAATTTAAAGTGGTAATTTCAAAGTGACCAGCTTCATCAATGATTTTTGTACGTGTTTATTTTGTAAGTTTCAGACTGGTAGTCATGATAGAGTGTAATATAATTGTATCCAATCAATACCAATCATTCGTTATTAATCATAAAAATTATGCAAATATTACTGTTGCGATAAGTGTATATGTATGTACTGTATATTAGTTCAGTTTATCTCAGCATGAAGTGTGTTCATTAATTGTTAAATCCAAAGGAGGTACAGTGCATCCCATGAGCCTTGAATCCAGTTAATCGTCATATGGGGATGGGATTTACTGTTCCTCTGTTGTTTGGATGCACAAAGTAACAAAGGAGTTGCAGTAGATCCCATGAGCCTTCAACCAAGTCCATGGTCATAGAGTTACTTGGGATGGCTGTTCCTCCTTTGGTTGGATGTAAATATTCTGTACTTTACAATGTACAAAATGTAATTATGAACAGTTCATTAATGAGTAATCACAGGAGGTATTTTCCCAGATGTTACTTTAAGTAAAATTCCTGTGCATTTTAATTTATGCAAAAATTCATCGGGAGTTAGAATGGATGCAGAATATGTAATCCAGGGTATCTTGAAATATACCTTCCTGTGTAATAATTTCTAGAAATCAAAATGGATATTATTTGAGTAATGTGTTCAGTCTGAGCAATTGATATTGTAGCAAGACAATCTCACTATTAAACATATGTCATACCCCGAGAAGTCTTATGCAAAAAAAGTTCAATATTCTGGTATACTGGTCTAAAAGTATTACATAGTACTGTATTATTTGTATTTTTCCGAGTAATTGTTTTTTGGGTGTATGAACAATGGGGAGATTGTTCTGTTTCAACATGCATTGCTCAAAGGGATGTAATTATAAAGACATAATATTTGAAATTAATAAATTGAATTTATACACCACTATAAAATGTTCATTTTACATTTATCTATTCTTGAATGCTTTTTGCAGTTTTTTTTTATTGGCAAGAAGTATAACAAGACAATTTTCAAAATGTCACCACCTGCCAAATACCTACCACCGCCCACAAAAAAGTTGGGAGATTTTACCACCCCATTTGAAACTTTGATCATAAAACTCTACAAACACATTTAATTTTATCAATAACCCAGAGCTTTATTTACATATGTACATTTTATACATACCTGAAAGCTTTCTGCCCAAATTTTTTACATGCCAATATTTTACAATACCCCAAAGGGTTAACACTAAGACCCCTGGCAGACATATTTCACATGATACAACCAGTTTTTGTTGTATATAAACTATTAAGTCTCTTATACACTAGATACTAGTACATTGATACATTTTAAAGTGTCTTATGTTCAAATATTACTTTTAGACAAGAAAACATCATAAACCAGAACAACGGCAACGCCAAAGCGTAGCTAATCCCATCGAACAGAAATGGCTGGCATTTTTACAAACGAATAGCAAATATCGTAAAACAACACACCAGAAAGGCCACCATTTTCAAAATGGTTGCTCACTAGCCAAGTTGTCATCAGAAGAAATAATATGCTTTTCAGTAGCCACCTCTAAAATTTTTGAAAAATCGCACAAGTACTTGTAAAATAACTCACATAAAAATGGTGGCCATTTTTCAAAATGGCCGACTACTCCCCAAAGTTTTATTAGACAATGTGCCATGCTTAAAGTATTCACATATCAAATATGAACAAAATTGCTCCACTACTTTTCGAGTTATAGTAAAATACGTTAAAATGGCGGCCATTTTTCAATTTTTTTTCAAAATGGGCGCCTTCTACCAAAAGTGTCATAGGACAGTGTGCCATGCTTATAGTATTCACATACCAAATATGAACAAAATCGCTCCACTACTTTTCGAGTTATAGTAAAATACGTTAAAATGGCGGCCATATTTCAAAATGGCCGCCTTCTACCAAAAGTGTCTTTAGACAGTGTGCAATGCTTATAGTATTCACATACCAAATATGAACAAAATCGCTCCACTACTTTTTGAATTACAGCAAAAATCGTAAAATGACGAGTAAAGGCCGCCATTTTTCAAGATGGCTGCCATGGGCTTCTTTAATATCTACATTTGTAGCATTATTAATGTCCTTTATAATTTTTTTACATTTAAAACATATTGCTATTACAGTTTTACATATTGCACCTAAATTACTGTAAAATCGTCACTAAAATGGCCGCCATTTTGAAATGAGCGGCCATTTTGAAAATCGGCTTTCGAGCAGAACTTCTACTCCAATAGGGTATATGTGTACAAAATATGAACAAAATCGGGCCAACGGTATTTGAGTTATTGCCCGGACGGACGGACGGACGGACGTATGTACGGACGGACGGACGTACGTACGGACGGACGTACGTACGGACGGACGGACGGAGGCGTTCCCTATATCCCTCCGAACTTCGTTCGATGGGATAATAAAATATACTTTGATGACTATATAGAGTATATATAGTGTTCAGGTGTTTATACATAAACATGTATAAGAAAAAATACTAATTATCCACATTACATGTACATCACATGTGTATAGCATAGCAATCACTTGTAGCCTTGAAGTAGTGCTCAAATTCTAACTATGATGCAAAAACTTAAAATCACAAAAATAAGATCAATCTGGTACTTTTTGATATAGGTGAGCAATTTTGAATATTTGGTCTAACTTAGACGTGAATGTAATTTTAAGACATCATCCAACTTCGACAGTCTTCATTTAAACTTCAGAATTTGAAAAAAAGCTAAGGAACCTGAAAAATCAACAATCACTGAAGTCCATATCCAAATATTGATATGAGCAATGTTATTCTTTACCAAAGATATGCTACTGTAACTTTTTGTGCTTTCTGAAATAATGGGTCAATTGCCTTATATATTTTTCAGTATATCTTGAAACAAATCAGACTAAATGGTATTTGTGAGATAGTATGCTGGGATGCTTTGATTGAAGTTCCAAAAATGATATTCTTAAATTCTCTATTGTCCTTGCAATGCCTTTTTGTCCTTTTATCCCAAAATACATTACATGTACTGAGTTTCATCTCAAAGCTTCCCACTAAGTATACAACCAGTTATTCATTTCACTGGTGCATCACCTATCTAGTCTGTTACTATGGTGAGTAGACTCTGTAGTGGTAAAAGTTACAGAGTCCTTTACTCAAGTTCCAGTTGAGAATGAGTGTGAGTAGATAGAAGATGGCAACACCTGTCATAGGGTACAATAGCACCTGCGTCTTCTTTAAAAATGGTAATGCTGAAAAGGATAATAAAAATATCAATAAGCATTTTAAGTACAGTAGTACTCTCTCCTTTTTTCCAGATTCTCCTGTTTCCTTCTTTATCTTTTAATTTGTCAAAAAGTGACAAATATCTTTAGAAATGTTTATTTTGAAGCAGTCATACATCTCAAGTGGAACTTCTGGCCTTTAATATCCTCATGCATCTTTTGAGACTTGATTTAACTTTGATTTAACAATGTGCAATGGGAGTTCACAGTCTGTCTGACTACAAAGCTGTAGTGTGATTGCTAGCAAATGCATTCAATGGAGTGAGAAATAATTCAACTGTGACTGCTTTGGATTTCACAATTTGTTCCTAAAAAATCTCATGGAAGGCTCTGAACCATATGCTACAGTTACTATGGTTACAGATATAAATAAAAAACTACTGAAAACTCTCACCACTGTATCCCAGGAAGGTAATATAAATGTAGTATCCTATCGCAAACAGCCACATTGTATTTCCAAGAAGTGTTCCAATAAAGTATTCTTTGTTTATAATGGCTGAAACAAATAACCAAAAATTATGCAGGTGGGAGGGGGTAATATATATTATTGTAAATCTAAGTAACAATTATGATATAATTTGACCTACATATTACATAGGATATATTCCTATAATGTCTACAATTTGTCGCAATTTCATTTTAACATTAAAATATCTTAAAATTAGAGCATTTGTATGTTTACTTTATGGTCACCCTGTATATTCAATATGACATTTAACCTGTTGAATCCCAGGCTCTAAAATCAGTTGAAACCAGAGAATTTTTCATTTTTGCCACCATTCGACATTTTACTACATACCTATACAACTATAGAAGATCAACTTAGTTACTTTAGACGGCAGAGAACATTTCTGCACATTTTAAAACAATTTTTGTGTAAATTGGATGAAAATTGTTCAAATAAGAACAATTTTAGTGAAAAAATTTGTGACGGATTTTCTTGTCACTCTGGGTTTCAAGGTCATTTCTGAGGTGACGAGAAATCTCGTCACTTCAGGTAGTCAAGAGGTTAATAAAAATCGACTTACGATGTAAGAATACTAGCTGAAGGACATGCAGTATCATAAGAAGGGGGAAGAAAGCGTTGAGATGAACATCAAAGGCATACCCCCACTCTACCTCTGGCCCCTGACTAGATGACGCTTTCAGGTATTTGTTCGCAATAAACCTGAGAATACAATAGAAATCATTAATGTACATATAATGTGTAACCCAACTTTAACACTAGCCCCTGACTGGCAGAGAACACTTTAACATGGAGTAAAGCCAGTCTAATCTAAACACCACTGAGACCACATTTCAAGGATTCTTCAACAAGGGAGTCTATGGGATATTACAAAATTGGAAATATTCATACTGAGAAGTGCCCAGTTTATGCCTTGGTCCCATTTGTTCCTATTTTCACTACGGCGCCCGGCCGATTGAGTATTTTGTTCAAAATTGAATACAATATTGAACAAAACACTCAGTCAGGCGGGCGCCGGCCGATCGATCGGAGAAGTGTTCAGATATACAGGTTTACAGTATTAAATTAATAAGGAAATATGTAAAAGTATTTCATGCACTGGTGCCGCACTCTTCAAACTAGATGAACTAACCAAGTTCAAACCACCTTGGCAAGTTGAAAAAAACTAATCAAATCTAGATTTCCATATCAAGAAACACTTCTGTAAATTTTAAATCAACCCATCTAGCAGATTGCCTAGAAATGCACATACATGAAAAGTGAAAACGCAGTTGCCCATCCTCCCAGCCAATGACAATACAGTACCCTTTTTAGGTATGATAAAATGTTTAATACATTTACATTTTACATTACTCACCAGAAACATGTTGCTATCAGGAGACCAACCCCGATACAGTCTACAAATATCACCCAGATTAGGAACTTCCAGAAATTGAGGAAGGAAAGGCCAATCACAATGGAGAACCCTATCGAAGAAGCTGTAAATAAAAATATTGTTTTTATAACTTAAAACAACTTTATTCATTTCTTCAGAGAAAAACAATTTAGTATATCCAAGTTTTTTGTTTGCTTGTTTTATACTTTAAATGTTATCATCATTTTTATAGTTGAATATGTCAAGCTATAGTCATTTTAATACTAATGACTTTTAAAGATTGAGACATAGACCTACCACACAGCCAGAAACTCAGAAGCACTAGGAAGGCTGGATCATCTCTTGCCCATTGGTCCTTTGTCTCTGGAATAGACCAATAAAATTCATCAATTTTTAGATAAGACAATGTCAGCTCAAGGATACAATTGAATCGAATAGACAGTGGAGACGATGGGCTCGATTGCCGTATCATACTGCATTTGAACGGCGATACGGCAATTGCCGTATAGAACGTCATTATTTGTAATAACGGTTATCTTTTAAAAATCTAAACAATTCCGGACTTCAAATTCATATTAAATCATATAACATCCATAGTAAGTACAATTTTAAAGTATTTTCCATAAATAGGGGGTTTAAATTTAATGACATGAAATATTTTGTCCTAGATATCGTTTATTTCTACTCCAGTGCACAAGGGCCGATTACAACCTGAAATCCCTGAAATTGTGAAATTGCAACAGACCCTCCTTGTACTTAATTTCGGCAATATTAAATAAAGAGATGGCATGAATTTTTTTATTGATATTAGAAGAACATATATAAAATAAACTTTTCCTCGCGTGCATTTAAATTCTGCCGTGTGCAATTACTCCCGTGGGTTCTCAAAGTTTCACTTATTTTAGGCAAAAGACAAAAACGTACTTTGGGGGTTAAGGTGCTCTTCAGACATTCCAGAGGCGAGAATAACATGAAACCAGACAGGTTTTCATTTTAATTTTATCGTTTTTATAAATAACATCGTCTTTCTGCATGCATTTTGGGTTTGATTCATCCTTTACACTGACGTTTTAGGTATAAAAGTCTCGGCTTTAAGTCATTACTAGATCGCGTTCAAAGTACTAAGTACCGTTCGCATTACCATTGTTCTCAGACGGACAATGCTGCCTGGATAATTTCGTCCAGCAACCAATTCGCCCAGAAACAAAACCAAGTAGCAAGTGCCATTTCTAGAAACTCAGTTTAGAGGAGTAGTTCCTTGAACTACTGCACAATCTCATCAGATGTTATCATATCATAATACTTAATATTGTAATTTTGATATTATATTTTCTCTTACTCTACACATTTTATTGTTGCACCTGTTATTGTAGAAGAGACCTTTAATCATTTTCATTAAATCACTTTATTTTCTCAATTATGTACAAGATCATACTTTACAAAATAACATGTACACTTTTTATAATATTTAACAAATCATTGTAAATACCATTATGTGGCACCTAATACTCCCTCTTGGGGGTCATAGCCACTAAAACCTGTAAATATGTTACATTGATTTTAATAAAAAAAAAAAAAAAAAAAAAAGAGTCGGGAAAGTGACTTGAGAATGCAGGAAAACTGACCAATCAGAATGCCCGATTCCTCAGTATTTCTCAAGTGAATCTTCGATTATGGAGAAACTTTTTCACGCTCGAATTCCACCTATCTATTGCACATGGATCGCTTCAAAAGTGATACAATCGGGAAGCTGGTTTTGTCAGCTTCACTATGACATTATGCTTTTAGAAATCGACCGAGAAATGGCGGAGAAAAAGACCGAAAAGTGTCATTTCTAAAACGGCGAGTTTGGAGAGCTAAAGTGGATCGGGACTGCTAGAAAGCCAGCCAATCAGAACGCAGGATTTCTTATTGAAACTTGGAATTCGAGAAATCGCCTTTACCTTCTATTTCCTCAGTTTTCTCGCAATTTGGTCACTACAAAGTGGAACCATCAGAAAGCTTTAGTTCCGAGCATAACCATGGTCTTATTTATTCCGAAATCTGTCAACTAATAGCAGAGTTATAGACTAATAAATGCCATTTTTTAAACAGCCAGTTTAGAGCCAGAAAGTGGATTCAGACTGCAACAACATTATGCAAATTAGCTAGACGTATCTAGGTTAGTAGCACACGTATGTGGGTTAGTAGGTTTGCTCTGTCAAGGCCGCGCATGTATCAATATATAAGCAGATCTCGGCCGTTTCAGCATACTTCATACAGGAATGAATCGTTACGTGTACTTTCACGGAATCCACGCAACTATATACCTTCATGCACATTAGACTGCCAAGAACGTTTTTATAGCGATCTACCACGGGCAATAGATCTACTAAGTTTTGTTTTTTCGTGGATAATGACAAATATTCTACCATTTCCCTTTCCTTCCCATTTCCCAAGGAAAAATCTTTTTAACTGAATCTTTCACAGATTTCATATCGCAAATAAACAGTATCGCATAGTATAATCGACAATGTTTTGATTAAATATCTGACTAATAATTGATATATCTTGTTGATACTAGGTTCAGTCTATTTTCGTAATTAAAAATCAGTGATTTAAATGCTAAACCTAATTTTGAATATTGTTTATCCAAAGTAAAATCGGTTGTCTCAGTGCGTTTGAGATATCAAACATCATACTTTCAATAGAAATAAAAATGTATTTCAAAGATCGGTGTTTCAGTCTTAAGCGCAGTATTGATTTAAGTATTGCACTATGCTGGAGCCTAGGAAGTATAAAAATGACGTTTTAATTTAAACCAGCGTAAAATTGAATTTCGAATTATAATATTTGCTTGAGTTGTGTTAATAGACCTTCCAGGGCTGTTGTATTTGGGCGATAATAAAAAATAAATACTCTTAATAAAATTGACGCAAGATACGGCAATTGCCGTATTATGCTTTAATAGCGCTGAGTTGCTAGACATGCGCGTTTGGAATTAAAATAAGACGATACGGCAATTGCCGTATCGTTGTTCAATTGCAATATGATACGGCAATTGAGCCCATCGTCTCCACTGATAGATAAAGCTTAACTTTTTTAGGGGGGGGGGGGTGGTTCCCAACCTTGATATTTATACATTGGGAGGTGTAATTGTTCTTTACCCTTACATTTGTTATTGAAATTTTAAATACTTATGTCAGGTTTGAAATAATACAACAAATAAAATATTTACGTTTTCGATACTGGAAATTTCTGTAGACTTTTTGTGGTGAATAGAATAGATAGAGCATTTGCCAAAATGCAAACTCAAAGTCCATTTGCTTAAACTTCCATATACGCCTGAAAATAAGATATCAACATGTGAACAAGTCAGCAAGTGAAAAACATCAAAAATATGTGCATGAAAAATGGTTGTCCAAGATGTTGCAATAATTGAGATTTTGGGTATTTTTAACTGAAACAGACAAGTTCTTATACCATAAGAGAGATTGAGAAACAACATCTACGAACAACAATGCGATAACATGAAGAAGGCCCTTGACTTAATCACTAGATGACGCTTTCATGTACTGTACGTCTATCGGGACGTCTACTTAATTTGGCGCTACTTATTTTGCCGGATTTGCTGTTTTGAACATTTGACTGCTACTTAATTTGGCGGACTTGCAATATTGTATTACTAATGGTATATATAACATAGTACTAAAATTAAATGGGAATTTGGCGGCTTCATAAATTTGGCGGACTTTAACAATTTGGCAGATCTGCCAGAGTAAAATGGCCACAAAATTAAGTAGAAGTACAGGATTTGTTAGATTACCTTAAATACTTGTATCTCTTTGAACTTGCTGTCAGTCTTGCTTGTTGTCTTGGGTTTGGTGAAGATGGCCTCTCTGTGTAAACTATAGTGGATGGAACTGGGGAACTTGGTGGCGAAACAGGAGGTGACGTCTTTGCATAGCTATACATGTTGATCGATTTCTGGCTTTATGTTGTTACTGAAAACAAAGTTATGGTGTTATGAAAAGTTCAATCTAGAAAGTGAAGAAAGCCTTGGGTTTGGTGAAGATGGCCTCTCTGTGTAAACTATAGTGGATGGAACTGGGGAACTTGGTGGCAATACAGGAGGTGATGTCTTTGCATAGCTATACATCTTGATCGATTTCTGGCTTTATATTGTTACTGAAAACTAAGTTATGGTTTTATGTTATGGTGTCATTATTGGAAATCTAAAAGCATTCATGCATGTACTAACCTGTAAACATCCCAGGTGGATCCCAGGTACATTATCAGGATCTGTACAAGTATTTTCAATGTTGTACCATGCATGAATGCTTTTGAATCCAATTTTTTTATAAATTAGGCTCAAAATTAAAAAACAATGCTAAGTATTGTCAGTTTGTTATCTGAATAATGAATTTATAGTTACACCGTACTTATAATGTCAGAAAATAACGACAATTTCAATGTTGTCGCCTATATCGGTCAAGCTCACTAGAATGTCAGTCATTCTCCTTGCAGTTAATTCATGCAAACTTTGCCATAGAACTGAACAACATCAGCACTGAACAACTGCTTGGAGATTAAAAATATCAAGTTGGAACTCTGGGATCCAATCCTCCTTGAATTAACGCACTCATGGTGAGTAAGTCATCCTTTTCCTCATACATTCACTTTTATGAACATAGAGAACATAAGAAAGGGGGGTTACTTCCTGTGACTGATACTCTAAGCTGATTGATTTGGCATATCTGAATAAAAATTACAGAGGGATTGAAATTGCATATGTTTGAATCGCATGCATATACTGTAAAGCCACAGACTTGAGTCAAGCAACCAGAGCTTTGGCAGAAGGTCACGTGATCACCTCTTCATTAACAGGCATCATTGGTTAACTCTTGGAAAACGTGTTCTTGTGTTTCATCACGTGATCATAACGTGCTATTACATTGGTAATTGTATAGACTGATGTACATAATTCTGAAAAACGTCATCCATTGCCAAAACTCTGACTGGATCTTACCAGTAAACAAGAAACAGTCAAATGAGGCTAATAGATACAATTACAGTTATAATTAAGTTCAAGTCACCAAGATGAGCTAATTAAGGTGAGAATAGGGAAATAAAACAGGGTAACTTTTTTGGAATTCCTGTTTCCAATCCTGGTAAAATTATATGGCAGTAAGTTTCAATAGAAACGTTGACTACAGTACATGCATAGAGCACAGTTTTCTTCCCAACATGAAGAGATTGAGATGCATTTTCTGTATAAATAGCACTGTGGTCAGGACTGTGGTCATTTGATTCATAGGCTTTCAACTAGAATTGAAAGCCCATGTTCGATTGCAACTTTTTAGGTTTGGTAGGCATACATTTTCACTGCCTCAGACTGTAGGCGTTTCAACGACTGCAAGGTTATGACTTCCCTTGTAATAATGTAACATACAAGGGATAAAATAAAAACTACCCTGATTCACTGTAAGTGATGAATTTGTGTATGGCCATCGTGGCAAAATTTAAAAATAAATCTAAAAAAATCAAATTTTGTAAACAACTTATCTTGGAAGTGTTACTCATCATTTTGACAAGAAAATGTGCGAGTACCACATTTGTTTAATAAACTTTAATAATAAATCATAGGAAATGCATACCTATTTTGGGTTTCCCTAATATTCCATTGAATTTGCAACTATATCGAGATTTTCAAAATTATTTATGCACTTCCTGTTTAGATGCGCAGGAGGTATGCGCAAGAAATAATGATTTCGTTTCACAAAATTCGACCTTGAATTCCTCCATATGATTTGAAAGTTTTTTTGAAATGTCAAGAAATTCACCTATTTATTGGGTTTTTACAGGCTTGTTAGCCTTACAAACGTTCCAAATAGCTGAAAGTTTTATTTCCATACAAGGTAAGTGTAAATATAATCATACAGATAGGCTTAATACATTACTTAAGAACCGTAATCTGAGTTGAAAGTCAATGTTTTTATTTTTCAAAAGTGGGCGGGCCGTCAGCTGATCATGATTCACAGTTAGATTCACAGAGGCTCTTAGTGAGTCTTGAAGATGATAAATCAGGGCAATGATCTGATACCTCGCTGCATTTCTACTCTAGATTTAAGCTTACTGCCTCCTCTTCCCATCTCAGTTTACAGTATCACATGTGCGCAAAAGTTACCTTCTAAAACCTACCCTAGTCTCTCTATATCGCAGCCTTACAGCTTACACCATGGGCATTCAATTTGTTTTATTCTACCATACACGATGAAGGGATATAATGTTGACGTTTTTTCATTTCAATTTTGGGTAACTTTGACGGCGGGGTAACTTCGACACTAAGAGTTTACTCTATTTTCCAATCTTGGGGCAACCCATGTTTTTTTCTCACTGAGATTGAGATCTCACAAGATTTTTACTTCTTTAAAATCAAACATGTCGACATTATCCCACATGCCTTTGTTACACCCCTTTGCCCATGAGTCATGTTTGTGATTATAAAATTTGAAATCAAATAGTTGCCATATTTATTTACTTCAGAATTTGAGTTTTGGTCTTATTACCTCAAAAAATTTAAAAACATTCAAAATGTGATTGCTATTTTTTGTATCAGCCATTTTTCTTGGCTTTGCCTCATTTTAGACAAAATCATGCATTATCCCACATAGACAAGGTTTGTTTCAATTTCAATTAGAGGTGTGCACCGATGGCACATTACTTAATCGATCAGCGAAACATATTAATCGATTAATCATCGGTTAATCGACCCCAACATAAACTGATAAAGTATGCATGGATATCTGCCACAAACTTGATTTTTCGGCAACTTTCTTGTGGGCGATAAATCGATAATTTTAATTCCAAATTCTAATTTTATTCAGTTCAAAAGCGGTCGAAAAATGGCGAGAACACCAGGAAAAAGAAGTTATGTATGGAAATATTTCAACAAAGAAGACGACGATCGCGTCAAATGTGTGCTCTGCAATACTAAATACAAATATTCAAACAGTACATATACTCTAAGCTACCACTTGTCAAATGCACACGGGGAAACTCCGAAAATAAATACTCCGACGTCGCCAATAACTTCATTTCTAGTCAGAAACTCGGGACCCGTTTCTTAACTTGCCGCTGAAGATATCACTTATAAAATTGTCAATATGATTGTGGTCGACCTTCATCCGATATCATTTGTAGAAGGGCGAGGCTTTATAGAACTAATGGGACATTTACGCCCAGGGTACGATGTACCGAAGCGCAAAACAATAACTCGTCGTATGTAAATGGAATTGGGATGATTGCATTCAAATTATACACCACTATTCACCTTGAATTTGATCGCATACTTCTACTGAATAAACCAATGGGATGTATTTGGATTAGTATTAAACTCAAAAACAACAAAGGTCACAGGTAAGCGTCAGTCTTAGGGTAATTAGTTTGTTTGGTAGTTTGAGCTTGGCGTGGCAACCTGACATTCACTGCTCAATCAGTCAGTGACGTCACGTAAGCTTACTCGCAGCGGGATATTGAAGATTAACTTTTTGAGAATCAGTTAATTGAGTAATAAGAATCTTATTCGATTAAATGCGTGTCGATCAATTAATCGATGATCGATTAAAAATTCACACCTCTTATTCCAATACATGAACTATTCTCAAAAATAGTTTAAAAATAACATGTAAATTAAATATGTATCTCAAACTTTTTCATAATTAGTGGATGCAGTGTTCCACATGTTCCACATTGATGTTTTAGTTTGTATCAGTTAAATGACAAGAAATATAATTATATTTATCTCATAATTGTGTTTGTTTTTAAATTTTTTCATTTTGCTATCGAAATAGATACTTTATTTTATTCAGTGCATACAAAAAATGATCATTCCCAGGGTAATAGTAAGACATGCCTACTCAAGTTTGAAAAAATGTACTCGAGCAACTATCTTGGACAGTTTCAATGCAACAACTGCTCCAAAGCCAACAAAGGGGTCTCCTGGTGAAAAAATCCCAACATATTGGGGCTACAGGCAATATATCACAGGACTCAATGTGTTTTCCATATCTTTTCCAGACAATGGCCAAAACATTACAACAACTGCTCCAGAGCCAACAAAAGGGACTCCCGGTGAAAAAATCCCAACATATTGGGGCTACATTGCAGCTGGCATCGCTGTCCTTTTCTTTGGTAGCAATTTTGCTCCAATTAAAAAGTTCGAAACTGGTGATGGTATGTTTAGAATTAAATTTATTTTTGAATTGATTTTGATTCACAGGTACACATAGATAAGTTTATAGACTTCTATAAGTACATGTATGCATAATACAATAAAAGCTTCGATATTAAGAATGTCAGAATAAATAATATGAGAACTATTTATTCTAAAATATGATATTAAATTGTAGATTAGTTGTAGCAAATAGCAATACTGTACGACCTAAAAGTCTTACCAGGAATTCTTGCAAAATTCAAACCTCCCTACCTACAGGGTGACCCCATAAATACACTCCTCTAATTTTGGAATCACTTTATCAATTATGTTGGAATATTCTTGTTTTGAGAGTTTTCAATGTAGCAAACAGTAGTATACTTACATTGAGTAGAGCTCTTATTTAATTTTCTGTCTAGCCATGCTCTTAAACTTGCAATTTAAGAAATCTGTATTTATCAGTTTTTACCCAAAAAATAAAAATAAGTTAATTAATTAATCATTATATGTATAAAAGCAATCCATAAATGACTAAAGTAATGGTGAACACTTACAACCCACACTAAACATTAAATTGCGTTACTTAAAAGATCGACAGAAAACATGATTTCTCCAAATTGTTGCCATATATTTTATAAGTACCCCTGTTCACTGTTTGCTTCATTGAACACTTTACATAAAAGTGTAAAGAATCTAATAAGATTTCATCATAATTGACAAAATGATTTTTAAAAAAATGGCTGCATATGTTGGGTCACCCTTTACTAGTTGTATACTTATAGTTGTACTAGTCAATTCCAGGTTCATTTTTCCATTGTGTTTGATTCTAGGGATATTTTTCCAATGGATATTGTGCAGTGCCATTTGGATCACTGGCCTTGTTGTAAATGTAATTCAGAATTTCCCAACCTTCTATCCACTTGCTATGCTGGGCGGGTTCCTCTGGGCCACAGGTATGTGACATCATAAAATCAGTAATGCTTAAACACTTTTCAAGTTTGTTCAAGACCCAGTGAGTTACTTTATGTAATGAAAGTGAACATATGCATTGATATTTCATGAACAATTGTCAGTTTTATGTCACCACCAAAAAGTGGTGACATATTGTTATGGTCTCCATTTCTGTGACGGCGGTTGGTGGTTGGCGATCGGTGTCTGTAACGATTTATTACAACTTCCAATAAGTTGACAAATACTGTTTAGACTGACTTCAATTTGCTTCAAATTGACCAATTTTTCAATTTGACCAATCTTTCAAAAACATCTACAAGTTCTCAAAAGTTCAAATCTGAATATAGATTTGACCTTTAATGGCATTTTCAAGTTCAAAAAAGATTTGACTTTCAACCTTCAATGACATTCTCAAGGTCAAAAAGGTATTTTTTCAACTTGCTTCAAATTGACCAATTTTTTTCAAAATTATCTTCAAGTTCTCAGAAGTTCAAATCTGACTTAAGATTTGGGATTTTACCTTCAAGGTAAAAAAGATTGAAAACTTATATGTTCAACTTGCTTCAAATTCACCATTTTTTCAAATTCATCTACAAGTTCTCAGAAGTTCAAATCTGACTTTAGATTTGAGATTTCACCTTCAATGATCTTCCCGGGGTCAAAAAATTGTTTCAAATTGACCATTTTATTTCAAAATCATCTACAGAGTTCTCAAATCTGACTTAAGTTGGAACTAATAATATTGTGAGCAACTAGGTGGTGACATTTTGTCATGTTAATGCCTTGATGGTGTAATTTTGAAAATTCCCAACATCTGTCAAAATTGGCAAAATTCATGTATGACTAAATTGGGAATATGATTTAGCACTCAGGCAAAAATCAGACCCTTTTGATCGATAGAGCTAATAGGGATAGGGATTAAGTTCTTAAAAAATCACTATGGACACAAAGAAAATGTGATCTTTTACCTTCTTCCTAAAACATGAATACCATAAATGGAATGCAATAGAGTACATACAATCTTCCCTGCCTTTTTTCAGGTAACATTTGTGTGGTGCCAATCATCAAAACAATAGGACTTGGGTTGGGACTCCTTATCTGGGGTTCCTTCAACCTCCTATCTGGCTGGGCAAGTGGAAGGTGTGTAAATTAGTTTACAGTGTATTGCGAACCTTTTTAAAAAACTGGTTTTGAACTCAAATTTTTTTAAAAAGGGTTTAAAGCTCAAGAAATGAGGCTAGTTCTGATGTTTTTTGTGTGAAATTACTTACCTGAGAGAGTAACGTAACTAACTTGGTGTTATTTTGTTCCAGATTTGGTTGGTTTGGCTTAAAGCCAGAGAATCACCTCAACCCAGTGCTTAATGATATAGGTGTCACTCTTGCAGCCCTCAGGTATGTACATGTATGTGAATGACGCCAATAAATGACCACCTTAGAATTTGCTTACTATATTTGAATCAAAGATTTACTTGTACATATGTAGATTAATAAATAGAATTGAATTTCCAGCAAAATTACATGTTACATTGATATATTTAATGAAGTACATGTACAATTTGTATCTCATTTTCTTGCATGATGCATTAAGGATAAAACAATTTATTTTAATTTTCTTAGTGTTTCCAGCATGTCATTTCCATAAAATAGTTCTAATAAATACAATTAATTAGTTAAAAGAATGCAAGTTTGAAAGGCCCATATGATGCCTGAATCACATTTGCTCCGATTCATTGATTTAGTATTTTGTTCAAAATTGTATTCAGTTTTGAACAAAACACTCAATCGGCCAGGCGCCGGCCGATGAATCGGAGCAAATGTGACCCAGTCATAACAATTATTTACCGTTTCTTAGATTTCAGTTGCACTCTCTTTTTGTAAAAACCTTTTTATAGGGACAGAGTGTTCCACAAAATAAGCACATTATTTCAGGCAGTATTCCAATTGATAGTCCTAGATAAATTTAAGTTTTATTATTATTTTCAGTTCCACCATCTTTTTATTTTTAAGACCTAAATACAGGGTGTCTCACAAGATCAACTCTTGAAGAACTACAATATCCAACTACTGTACATGGTGTTTAATACTAATAGAGAGATAATTCGCGACTTTTCAGAACCACCATTTATTTATTTTTGAAGGCTAGGATACAGGGTGTACCACAGAACGAACCCTCGATGAACTGCAGTTTTCTACAGTGTTTTCAATATATTTTCAGTAAAACAATTATTTTGTTTGAAAACCTAGATTCAGGGTGCACCACATGACGTATACATGTACTTGATACACTACAGGGTGTTCAGAAGAGAAATTATTCATGATTTTCAGTGTCACTATCTATTTATTTTTGAAGATCTAGATACAGGGTGTGCCACAAGATAAACTCCTGATGAAATACAATACTACAGGGTGTTCAATAAATAGATAATTATTGATTTTCAGTGCCATCATCTATTTATTTGTAAAGACAGAAATTAGAGGTGTATCTGAAGACCTCACTCCAGTATATCCTAGCGAAGAGGAACCACTTATTCCCAAAGTGAGTACTTTGTGCATATTTTGCATGGCTTGTATTCAACCAGTGAAGATGGTAGTTTTTGATACTGGTGGTATTTGATATAGGGTCGTGATATTTATTCTGGTGCCAAGTGCCGTGGCCAAACAAAAGACTGAATCTCAAGATATTACTCCGAACGAAAGTAAACCTTTGCTGTTTAACTCAAATCAGGTTTGAAAATTCTTGGGATTACTTTAAATATAAGAGCTTTCTGTAATATAAGACACAAATTCCTCCATTTTTAGAAAATCATATGGATTTTTAGCTAAAATTGGTAAATTTTTATGCAAAATTGCATTCAGTTTACAAATAGCTAAAATTGTCAATTCTTGATAGAACATAATAAGAATATATCATTTCACCCCCTCCCCCACCTCGAATGTAGCAATATTCAAGAGCCTCTCCCTATATGAATATATAGCATCAGAAACCCTTATCAAGTACACATGAACCAAAACCAGAGTGGTTCTAAGTTTTTAAGTTTGCACATGACCCTAAAAAATTTATTAGCATTAATTTTATTTTTATAATATCCAACCTTTTTCTGGACAGTGTTCGATGTTTTTGGATTGGTGTCTGTAACAAATGGCAGGTGGTGACATTTTGCAAGTAAATGCCTTGTTTGGGATTTTTTTTAATGTGGTTTTACTCTCTCTCTCAAAACAATTTGCATTACAACAAACTAAATTGCCGTAACTCCTTCATTATGGATTTTGAAGCCCTGATTATGGAGAATGATTTCCTTTGTGCTCTATAGACTGTGTTGTTATGTCCCCACCACATAGTGTGGGGCCATATTGTCATCCTAGGCGCATCCGTCCGTCTGTCTGTCCGTCTGGTTGTCTGTCTGTCCGTCCGTACATCCGGCAGTTTTCTCCAAAACCGCTACAGGTATCACCTTCAAATTTTCAGGAATAACTTGTGAGTGCATACAGATGTGGATTATAAAAAATTAACTTGATAGCTGCTTCCCGTCGGCCATTTTGAGGTCAAATGCTAAAATCCTTGTCTGCAAACTTTAAGAAAAACGGCTTCCCAGTTGCTTTTAAAACTTTAACATCTTGTTCAGCTCACTTCATTCTACAACTGATTAAGTTTTGGACCTGTTAGCTCAGTCATGTCAGCCATTTTGAATGTCTGAAGAAAAGTTAGCGGCCATAATACTTTGTATCATATTGAATGGTGTTTTTGAGTTTTCTTACTTTAACTATTTAGTAGCTTTATAAATAATTTCAGGTGTACTTTGTTGAAAAAGCCTATGTTATTGTTAACAGTAGTTATATGTGATAATTTTGTAAAAGGAAATCAGCAAAAACTCATAATCACTTTGTTATTGTCGGCCATTTTGGTTTTTTCCGTCCTAAAATCTTGTCTGTAAAGTCGTCTATGCATTTCCAGGTGAACCGTTTGGTAGATCAATTTCAAATTTTCAGGGATGATTCTTAGAATGAAAATCTAGATCTGATTAGTTTTTTTTGGCGTTCTGGGTAAATGTCAAGGCAGCCATTTTGGATTTTCTGTCCTAAAATCTTGTCTGTAAAGTCTTGTCTACGCATTTCCAGGTGAACCATTTGTTAGATCAATTTCAAATTTTCAGGGATGATTCTTAGTATGAAAACCTAGATCTGATTAGTTTTTTGGCATTCTGGGTAAATGTCAAGGCAGCCATTTTGGATTTTCTGTCCTAAAATCTTGTCTGTAAAGTCTTGTCTACGCGTTTTCAGGTGAATCGCTTGGTAGATCAATTTCAACTTTTCAGGGATGATTCTTAGTATGAAAATCTAGAACTGATTAGTTTTTTGACATTCTAGGTAAATGTCAAGGCAGCCATTTTGGATTTTCCATCCTAAAATCTTGTCTGTAAAGTCTTGTTTAACTGTTTGACGGATCAATTTCAAATTTTCAGGGGTGTGGTTCTTAGTATGAAAATCTAGAACTAGCTAATTTTGGGGGATTCTGGGTAAATTTTAAGGCGGCCATTTTGGATTTTCCGTCCTCAAATTGTGTCAGTAAAGTCTTGTCTACTCATTTTCAGGATAACTATTTGATGGGATCACCCATTGGTGGGGACATTTTGTACACATTTGTGTTCTTGTGAATTTTTGTCTTTAATATTCATTTTTTGTTGTTTTCATTAGGCTGTCAACTCTGATGATGTCAAGGTGATACAAAAACAGAACTTTGTGGACACTCTATCCCCCAAGGCAAAACGCATATTGTAAGTTGGATATTTTCAGTCTTTATAAGGGGACTTGACATTGAAGTTTTGTTTCATAATTTTTATTTTTTTATTTATTTATTTTGACATACGCTTTTTTAACAGCAGCACACTATTATTAGGTGCGTCAGTATTTGTAATCTACATATATATTTTATAGCATGATAATGATCCTTCACCCATCTTATCTGAACGCTTTTCACAAAATACTACATATTTCTTATAAAATTGCAAAAATGTTTTCAATTTAGCACTGATTATGATATCAAAACTTTTGAAAGAACATCATGATGGATCTTCCTAGCATGATTAAATTCTTAAACATGTTCCTCAGGTTGGATTATCAAATCACAAAAATATTTTTTGGAATGAATTTTTGGTGAATTAATATGACTTAATATTGTTTTTATTTAATTGTTTTGTAGCGCTTCAGTTCAGTTTTTATACAGTTGAAAAAGGATCCAGACAGGATCCGAAACGTCTTGTTTAGTAAAATAAAGGTTGTGAAAAGAAGAAAAAATATTTTTGTGATGATTAAATTCATAAGTTAATTTACTGACACTTTTTAATCTGTAATAAATGTGTTTACTGAAGAAAATTCTGATTTTTGAGGCACCAAGTCCTTTAAACTTGCATCATATATCAATATAAAAAAAATAAAGGTCTAATTATTATTTCTTTTTCAGAGGATGCTCTTTGTCCGCTATATCTGGAATCTTCTATGGAGTTAACTTTGTTCCTGTTATCTACATACAAGACAACTATGAGAATGGCCATGCTAGTAAAAATGGTAAGATTGCATATCAAATTGCATATCATCAGTTGAAATGCATACAGTGTGGTATACAGCCCACTAACCTACCATCTTATTTGGATTCAGCCAGGGCTTTAAGACTAAAGTAAACCTGTATATCTGTCAGGGTGTTGGTGCTCGGCGGTTGGTGTTTGGCAGTCGTCGTTCCACAAATGGCAGGTTGTGCATAGCCAGGGAGGGTGCGATGGATCTGAACTCACCCCCCCTTTCATAACCAATAAAAATACAACCATCAGATAGAAGAACTGTATTGGAGTTAGATTTGCATATTTGCTCGTATACATAGTAATTTAAGCCTCTGGATGCCAGTGTAGTATGTATTTCTTTGTTTTAAACATCTTGTTTTTGCATTTCAGGGCTAGACTACATATTTAGTCACTTCTGTGGAATATATCTAACCAGTACCTGTATTTTCACTGCCTACTGTATGGCAAAACGCAACAAACCTGATGTTTATCCCAAGGTAAGTTGTATGATTTTGTTGTGTGCATTCATTGGTTCATTTAGGCATGTCTCAATTTAGTATTTCAAATTTGAGTAACTTTCTTCATTTGAACTTTCATAGACCAATCTTGAATTTTTAAATCTGACATGCTAACTTTTTCTTACTTGTAGTTCTAGTTTTTTCTTCAAATCTGGCAAAATTTTGTGAAGTCAACTTTAGGATATAGTGAAACTTGGGTACATTCTGTAAAAAACTTTTTCAATACATCCCATAGTTGATCCAAAGTGAAAATGATAGTCACATTCAAATTAAAATCATTCCCTTCAAAATATCAAAACATATTTAAGGCTTAATTTAAGTAAATATGTGAATCAAATTTTTGCGACAGTAATGGACTTTGTCTCACACTTCATTACTGATGCATGTCAGCGGTGCTCTCTTAATTGTAAATACATATCTGCAAAATAAGTGCTCTCAGTTTGAGGGAAGTGTACTCGAATAGCCAATGATATCAGGGTAGTTTATAGTCTTATTGTTTTTCAGGTGACTCTTTTTTTCAGGCAATTTCTGTTGTTTTTCAGGCAATTCATATTGTTTTTTCAGGCAATTCTCCCGGGATTTGTCTCAGGTGTTATGTGGGCAGTGGCACAAAGTAGTTGGTTTGTTGCAAATGCAACACTCTCTGAACCAGTCAGTTTTCCTATAATAACTACGGTATGTTTGTTTACTTGTTTGTTTACTTTTATGCCTATATATTTGTTTACTTGTTTAAAGTGATGTAACCATGATGAAATATGCCATTTGACTCGTAGAGGAAATCTTGTGAACTTTAATTTTTGAATCTCACTTAATGTAGAACTAATGAGTCAGCCTAACTATTTTGAGCAACAGTATAATCATGAAGTGAGAAGTTCAAGAAATAATCAATGATAACTAAGTTTTCATTGCACATGAAAATGTTCTGACTTCTATTGTTGTACATGTAAGTATTCTTTTGTTGCCATCGTGTGTACTGGTGGATGGATGAGTGTGTATAGGTATTATACAAGGCAGCCTCATTTTGCTCTGCAAGTCCAATCTTTTTCACTGTGTGTCTTGTTTTTACTTTTTCCTGCCACACTAGTCAATTATAAAACTTTGATATCACAATTTACATTGCATGCGAAATACATTTACCAGGTATTGGCCAATTGGATTTTAGTTCATTTATTTAGACTGTAATAAACTTGTGACACTTACCGTATGTTATACCTAATAAACCCTAGTAAACTACATGTAGTAATAGATTATTTCTTTTTCTTATTAATGGTACTTTTGATACTCGACTTTGTATTTTTACATGCTGTTTGATGTCAGTATTTGTCATGTACTATTACTGTATATGATTTTTTCTAAATAAATAATTTAGGATTTTTTCTACTGTTTTATTCTGTTTCCAGGGACCTGGTATAGTTGCAGCATTATGGGGTGTGTTTGTATTCAAGGAGATCAGGGTAAGAATTAGGAAATATACATGGTATATATATATATGGTACACATTCTGTGAAAATTTCATTAGAATATATTGAAAAATAAAGAAATTAGAAAGGTATTATGAGAACTTTATGATCAACCCTCGTATGTAGCATCACCAACCCTGACAACCTCTAAATCTGCAACAGTTAGGGAGGGGTCTCAAGATAGCTTAGTACAAGAAACTGCCACTTCTATTTGGTTTGGTAAAATCAATCATACACCCCTAAGACTAACATAGGGTATAACTAATTCCAGTTTCTAAAATTGGATTTTTTCATTTTACTACATTCAACAGGCGATCCTCATTATATTAATATTAGATGACAGAGGTCATTTCTATATATTTTTCAACACTTTTTGTGTGAATTGGATGAAAATTGTTCAAAAAAGAGCAATTTAAGTGAAAAATTTTGTAACGGATTATCTCACTCTGGGTTTCAAGGACGAGAAATCTTGTCACTCTTGGTAGTCAAGAGGTTAAACCATAGGGAAAATAAAAACACAAACTGTGGCATGCATTTTTTTTATTTTGTCTTTTCCAGGGTTTCAAAAACCTTGCAATATTATGTCTAGCATTTGCGGTCACAATAAGCGGGGCAGTTATCTCCGGGGTTTCCAAACTGGGAGACAACCAAACTGGTAACAGCACCACGACCATGATGCCAACAACGATGCATCCTACGACGATGCATCCCACAACAATCCATCCTACTACCGCAATGCATAATGCCACAACAATGCATAATGTCACTACAATGCATCCGACAACAGAGCATAATACTACAATGATGAATATAATCACAACAGGCAAACCTTGAACAAATGTGAAAAATCTTGAAGAAATATTTTCTCGATAAAAGAAACCAAATTGCGGAAACATGCTCAAAATTATTTCTGAATAATTACTGACATTCCAGTTTGAAAAATTATTTTCTCAGGATGATTAGATTAGCAAGTATTTCCGACCAATAGAATTTTACATAGATTTCCACTTGTGTGCTAAAAAATATGTTTACACATTACATGACGATATGACCTATAGATTGTGCAATATGTAGATAATAACTAACATATCACTATTACATACTGACATAAAGGACATAGTATATTGACATGGGCGTAACAATTGGTACGCTGGGTACGCACAGGCGTACCAGATGGTTTCAAATTCGCTCCAAATACAACCAAATTTCAAAATTTTCCTAGGGGGAGAACCCCGAAGACCCCCTAAATGCTTTTTTGCTTCTCTCAACTCTTGCTCCCATGAGGGCTCCCGTGGTGGGGTACTACTTAGAAAAATAGCGCTACGCCCATGATTGATGCATGGTTACAATTGCTAAGCTCATTTCATTTTTATACTGCGAAACATTGTTTAATGGAAGTAAATAAATGTTTAATTATGTACATTTGTGGGGAAAGGAGGTCAGTATCAAATGTTATTATCCCAACGAACGAAGTTCGTTAGGGATATAGTGAAGCCCTCCGTCCGTCCGTCTGTCCGTCAGTCTGTCAGTCCGTCAGTCAGTCAGTCCGTCAGTCCGTCAGTCCGTCTGTCCGGAAGATAACTCAAATACTAGTCGACAGATTTTCTTCATATTTAGTGGAAAGATGTATATTGGTGAATAGTTTTACGCAAAAAAAAAATTTTCAAGATGGCCGCCGCTTTAAAAATGACGGGACTTTTTCACAAAAATCATAAATTTTTCATTCTAAACCAAAGTAATTATTATTATTGTTTGAAATTTTGGTAGTGTATTCACAACATTTATATATTTCACATATATTCCGTGTTTTTCATCCTGACCCCCAGGGGCCATGTATGGGGGGACAGGAAAACAGAAATTTTCGCTAATTTTTAGATCTTTCTGAAGTATAGCTTTATTATACTCAAATGAAAGGCAATTAAGAGTAGATTGCAAATATTGTATCTTTTTTCTGATTGGAGCCTCGTAAAATTCAAAATGGCCGTCTAATGTACGATTTCGCAATAATTTTTCGATCCCTTCAAGGTATGGCTATATTATACTCAAATTGAAGGAATTTTGGAGTAGATCACAATTATGGTATTATTTTTCAGATTTGTACCTCAGAAAATTCAAAATGGCTGCTTTGCAGGAATTCGCAATTCTAAAATCTAATTTTTTCATTTTCAACCAAAGTAATGAGTATAATTGATTGGAATTCGGTAATTGATATTTTGTTCGTTGGGAGTTGCCGTTATCTAGTTAATAATTACATTTAAAAAACATTAAGATATTGACTTGGTCCCTTACAGTATGTAGTTTTAGATTGGAAAAATTACATTTGTTTTGTTTTAAAGGTAAAGTCAGAAAGAAATGAGAGAAACCAAAAAAAATTCCAGGAATGAAGACAAAAACTATATTGTACAAAGGAATTTATTCGAGCAATATTTACATACGTATTATGGAAAACAATAAAAAGTGCCATTTATACCAGACACAAAGTTGTTACTTTACAATCAAATTGAAATGATAAAACATTCCAACGTTGCCATAGAAACATTATAAATATGTTAGTAATGTTATTTGAATGAATCTGTTCACAGAGACGAAACCTTCGATATAACAAGTGTAACTGTTAATTTTGTCTATTTGTGACTGGCATAAAGCATCTGTAACGGTTGTTACAATTTTGTAATTGTAAACAGGTGGTAACATGCATTCTGTCATGTAAATGTCTTAAGATGATAATACCTCTGGAAATATTCTTCGCATGGATATTTACAGTAGGACGAGACCATACTGTGAATGATTTTATATAGTCAGGTGCACATGCACTTAGAATTGTTAATTTCTTCATGTAAATAAATGAAGAGTTAGCTCAAATAAAGATATTTGTTAGGGCCATGTGTAAATCTGAATATTAATGCCTTAAATATGAGATATTAATTCTGATGATATTTTTAAGATTGATATTTTCCATGTTGTGATTGTACATGTATATAGGACTGTTATGTTAATGAAATCTACATCAGGGCTAGCTTGTGACTTATTTAGACAAAACAAGAGTAATAAAAGTATATGTTTAGCATATATTTTCAATGAGAGGATATAATAGTAAACATAAAAATTAGTTAGCCTTGCCTCTAACTTTTATATTTAGAATTAGAAATGTTTATAAATGATAAACTGTCAGTAAAAACACTCTTTATGTTAAGCTGTGATACAGAATAACTTAAGATAACACTCAGTGCCGTCCAAATTGGGGATTTAGGTTTTGGAATAAATCCTAAAATCCCCCATAAATGTCACCTTCAATTCTCATGCTACGTACACACTGATTTTTCTGAACTATTAAAATATTTTGATATAAGTATTTTAGTATATCATTCACATAGGGGGTTCAGGTGGTTCAGATGAACTCCCTTGTTGTGAAAAAAGTGCCCCCCCCCACTAAAAAGATTGTACAGGCCTGACAATATCAGTTTGTCATGCTATAATGTTATATTTGAATTTTATATATCTCTGTTGATGTCATTTCATTCTTGTGTGTGTGTTTGTTCGTCTGTTTGTTTGTTTTGTTTTTTTATTTGATAGAAGAAAAAAATAAATTGCTCCTTGTGAGCATTGAACTCACGACCCTCTGATTTGGGTCATTGACATTTGCTGTATTGATATTGATCAGACTATGCTTTTACATGTATAGGGTTTATAAAAGGTATGACATTGTAAAATAATTAAATAAAATCTTGTTATCTTTGCAATATTTTAATAAATAAATTACTATTTACAAATTTATATTTTTGTTTTTGTGAAATATTTATTCATGATATTTTAACCATACACATATGTTTTAAATCTAGTTTAGCACCAGCTTTAATTTTGACCACCAAAAATGTGTGTAAACATGGGCTTTCAATAATTCTGTTGAATGCCCATGGTGTAAAGAATACATGCTACTATTTCAGTGTTATCCTATGTCAGGAAAGATTTTGACAAAATTACCATATTAAATAGTCGCAACAAACAGTAATCCTTATTTTGAGAGATCTTATTTACACTGAGTATATGAAAGAACTTCCCATTATCAATGCATAATTATTTGAATATAGCAGCAGACATTTGCTTTTTGGATAATGTCAAAAATTGTAAAGGTAATGGCAAAGAATTTCGTATATCTTATATCATTGGTTTAAAACATTTATTGTAAATGCCATTGAGTGAATGCACAGGTGCCTTATTGCCCCCTGAGTGAGAGTTTTGGGAGGGGGTACATAAGAATGTCATAACAATAGTCTTATGTGTTTACACCCCCTCCCCTCCCCTCCAAACACATACACTTACTCACAAGAGGCCCATTATGTGAGTGAATGTCTCTTTTATCAAAACCATTGAAGATGGTTCAAGATTCTGAAAAGAATTGTATCACGAAATGTTAAATATGAATCACGAAATAAAATGTCAATAGGTGGCGTCAAATCCAAGATGGATCCTCATCATGAACATCTTCATGCCGACGTGGATATGAATTTAGTGCGAAATGAGGTATAATATCAATGTTTATCACAATATTGCAATGTTTTATTCGTAGTTTGCGTTTCGATCTTCAATATTGTACTGTGATTTTGATATTTTGGTCCTGTATTCACGAAGAAATAGGTCTTGAAAGTGAATATTTTCAGATTTTTATTATTTTATTTATTTCAGTTTCACTTTCGATTTTTATGATGTTGAATGAATATTTGCACAGATGCCAGCCAGCTCGTATATAGTAGTAAGCTAGATTCAATGAATATGAGGTACTGATACTTCTACATACGATCATGCTGGCATCTTTGATTGTATGCAAATGAATATCTCACTGATAGAAATGTATGACCTATGAGCTTGCAAGTTGCATCCTTCTGGATTCCTGATATAGTTACAGGGTGTTACAGGGTAACATTGACCAGTGAACCTAACACTTTTGGACTAGTCTAATAGATCTTTATTTATCTCATAATCTAGTCGTTCCTCAATCTTGTCTTTAAGGGCATTATTCAGAAATAGATAATTTTCGGCACCATTCTCAAGTAGTGTTGTCGCGATTAATCGATACATCGTGATATACATCGTCAAAGCTGAATCTGGCGATGCATCGATGTCTGAAACAGTTTGGAAACTCAACAATAGGAGTTTGGAAACTCAACAATAGTCTCTTAAAGGATGATGTTTATAAAAAATCAGTATCAAATATTGCAAAAGAGACTCTAAATAATAAATCTCCATTGGAAATAGGAGATCAGTGGGAATTATTTAAAATTAAAGTTAAGGAAAAATCAATTGATTATTCAAAACAAAAAGCCAGAACTAAAAGCAAACTGAAAATGTATTTAGAACATAAAATAAACAATGACATTAACTCAGATTATTATCAAGGTCAATTTAATATATTAATTGAAGATGAAGCCAAAGCAGCACAAATTAGATCAAGAATACAATGGACGGAAAATGGAGAACGAAACACAAAATTTTTCCTTGGTCTTGAAAAGCAGCAACAAAAAAATCAAACAATTTTTAGTCTGAAAAGGAATAATGGGTCCATAACAACTGATCAAAATGAGATTCTGCAAATGGAACAAAACTATTATGAAAATTTATATCGCTCTAAACATATTGATCCAGGAAAAATTGAACACTATATTCAAAACACTAATGTCAAACAAAAGCTAACAGATGATCAAGCAAAGTTATGTGATGGGAAAATTAATCTTGATGAAGCACAAAGCTCTATATTCAGTATGAAATTAAATAAATCACCTGGACCAGATGGTTTATCTGTGGAATTTTATAGAACATTTTGGCCAGTTTTAGGCTGTAAACTTGTAGATGTTTTAAATGATGGTTATAATAAAGGACAATTAATCAACACACAAAGACAAGGCCTGATTAAACTCTTATTCAAGAAAAATGACAATAAATTACTTTCTAATTGGAGACCATTAAGCATGTTAAATGTTGACTATAAACTTTGTGCACATGTGTTAGCACAGAGATTACATAAAGTGCTGCCTCATATTATTAAAACGGATCAACAAGGATATATCAAAGGGCGTTTTATAGGTTACAATATACGGTTAATTAATGACATAATTGAATACACAAATAAACATAAAAAAGCAGTCGAATCAGCAATAATTTTTGCAGATTTCAGCAAATGTTTTGATTGTTTAGAGATACCATTTGTAACTGAAGCACTTAAAAAATTTAACTTTGGAGACAGTTTTATCACCTGGATAAGATCACTGTATAATGGAGTACAAAGTTGTGTATCCAACAATGGAAACCTCTCACCATACTTTGACATAAGCCGTGGTATTCGACAGGGCTGCCCCCTGAGTTCGCTGATCTACCTAGTTGCAGCAGAAATCATGGCAGTAAACATCCGAAATAATATTAAGATAAAAGGTATCAGAATTGGGAAAAACCAAGTAAAACTTTGTCAATTAGCAGACGACACTACTTTATTTTTGACTGGTAAAACTTCTATTGATGCGGCTATTCAGGAAATAAAGAGATTTGGAGCTGTTTCAGGTCTGCAGCTAAATATTGAAAAAACAGAAGGCATAAAATTAGGCAGTTTAAGAAACAATAAAAATGACAAACTATTGAATATAGCATGGAAAACAGAAATTAAATCACTTGGTGTCTTTTTTGGATGTGATTCTCAAGCAGTGCATGAGCTAAACTGGAACAATAAAGCTGACAAATTAAAACGAGCCTTAAATCTTTGGAAAAAAACGAAAATTAACTTTATATGGAAAGATTGTTATCATTAAAACTTTAGCATTATCTCAACTAATGTACCTAGCAAAATGTCTTGAAACACCCAGTGACAATTTTATCAAACAAATAAATACAGAACTTTACAATTTTCTATGGGACGGAAAAAGAGACAAAATACAACGATCAACTTTAATTGGGCCTATTATGGAAGGTGGACTTTCGATGCCTGATCTTAAGTCTAAATTCAGCTCTTTTAAAATAAAATGGATCATTGACATATTTTACGGTAATGCATCTGACAATTGGAACTTGCTAGCAAGAGAAATTTTAAGTAAACTGGGATTAGGAAAAAATGAGTTACTCATCTTCAGCTGTGCATATGGAACTACAAAAAATATAACTAACTTTAACATCCTTCCTAAATTTTACCAAGACATTCTAGATGCATGGGGCCTTATTGGAGGAGCATCCTCCAGAAACAAATCATTTGCTGACATTAGAAAGCAAGTTATTTGGAACAATTCAAATGTAATCTTCAAAAACAAAAGTCTATATTTCAAGAACTGGATAAATTCTGAGATTATTTACATAAATGACTTAATGGGATCCCAAAGACATGTGTTAAACAAACTCAATAATAAAATCAATTGGATGTCGGAATATAGTCAAATCAGACATGCAATACCCACGTACTTTGCTGACAGGATGAACTCACAAGAGAGCAAGAAGACAAAAGTTTCAACACAACAGTCATTAAAAATTTATAATGTTACTTCCAACACATATCAGTGTCTGACTAAAAAAACTACTTCAAAAGACATTTATATAATTCTAATTGACAAGATCAAATCAAAACCATTCATGGAAAAGGTATGGGTTGATCTATGTAAGCTTCAAGATTATACTGAACTTTTCAAGTGTGTATGGGTTTTCTTGTATAAGTGTCAGAACAAAAAATCTGCAAATTGTAAATATAAATTGCTTCATAACATTTTACCATGTAAGTTCTTACTTAAAAGATGGCAAATAAGTCAAACTGAAAACTGTGATTTATGTAATGTAGTTGAAAATTATAAACATTTATTCTTAGATTGCAAAAGAGTAAACAGAGTGCTAAAACAATTAGAAGAGTACATTTTTAATCATTTTAAAATCACAATAGATTTAACAGATATTAAAACATTGATTTTTGGATATAAAACACGAAACATTGACTACAAACATTTTAATGAATGGCTTAATGAAATGTGGTATATCATATTTGTCAACTATTGTAAAGATACACATGAAATTAAAATGCATCATTTTAATGCAATTATGTAGATTTGTACTGTAAAACATATTTTAAAAAGAAATAAAGATAGATTGAAGATGTCTGAAACAAAACATCAATGTTTTTAAAAAAAATTAATTTGCTAAAAATCACCCTTTCTTATCTTATTTTGACGCAAATCGCTTACCTTTCTCATGTCTTATTTCATTTTCCTTGATGTTTTCTGATAATCTTTCGCTTTAAAACTGTTTTAGCTAGTCGAAATGAATCATTAATCAAAAAAAATTACTTTACTTTCATTTCACCGTTACTAGAAGTTCCCGAATGTACCAGGGTACTCTTATTTATTTGTCGGTATTTTAGTGCATTAGCGTTCTGTATTTCAGTGCACTTTTCTCTGACTTTTTGGCGATGTACATTGATGTTTACTACTGAATATTGCCCATGCATCGATGTACGATTATGGCACATCGTGACAACACTATTCTCAAGTCACAAGTCTCAACACCCTAAATGGATATATATATGTCTGTTTTGTACCTTTAATTTCATATATTAGCTGAATCCTGTATTTGCTTTCACAGGTCCTGTAATGTAACAAGCAGACTTTACACCTAACATCTCTGTGTATAAGACTGGCCGAGAGCAAACTGACGCGATCCAATCTTGTATCAATAACTTGAGAAGAAACTAGGATCTTTTCCCTCAATCACTGTCAGTTAGTCACTCAATAAACCGTATACTACTACACTAACCATGACTGGTTCCAACCCTGTGAATAAGAAATTCCCAAAATATGACATTGATCATTTCAACCAATTAAAGGTACAGTCACACTCATTGTTTGTCATTCCTGGCTTATTTTCTGTTCTGCGACAATTCCTTCACTTGGCTCTATTCTGTTTATAAACGGTTTTTATCTTTTGATTATCTCCTTCACTCTTTTGTGACATTTCTTTCATCATATCGAAGAAAACAGTGGTTATATTCCTCAACAATTTCTGACATATAGCCTTATCAACATCCTCTTAAAAACTTTTATTTCAAGGTTTTTTTTCTTCACTTTCAAAAAATAAATGTCCTGGGCATACATGGTATCATGGTTGCATTTATGCACCAATTGTCTTGTTATTGTATTCGTTGTGAAAGGGTTAAGGAAAGACCTCTTTGACTTATCCCCCTATTTTATTTTTTGTATTTTTGTTAAAGAGGGGGTCCAGGAGTACCCTTATCTCTCCTTTCTAGGGCAGGGACCATTTAATACCTGATTACCAGATATTGAATGTGCAAATTACATATTATTTGCCAAATACGAGGTGTAATAGTGATGTTATTGTTACTGGCGGATCCAGGGTCCCATGAGGCCCCTCCCCCTAGGCCATTACTTGGCATTTTCACAATTTGGGCCTAATTTTTGGATTTAGGGGCCCAAAAAATTCTTCCACACAAGCGCAGATCTTTTTCATATTTTAAATGTGGTCAGCGCTTATTTTGGTACCTACAAAAAGTTTCCAAATCGTTTTTTAAAATGATTCTCCTATGAAGTTATCTTAGTTATCTTAACCTCTATGTTAATTGGTTGAATCATTCTTATTTCAAATTTGGCTTCTATAACCTATTGCTCTGCATTTATTTGAGTGTGTGTTATTATCAATAGATGAATGGGCTTTTTGGCTTTAAATTTTTTAATTTGTAATGCAAATACAGATGGGTTTAAATATGAATTGAAATTTGTTTTAATATCTTCATTTTTCTTTTTTGGATAAATTTCTATAGTGTTGCATCAAGCCCATCCCCCTCTTGTTTTCTATTTTCCTACCTTGTGTAGCAGGATGTATGTTAAGAGGATATACATTTGGCTTGATGCAAGACTGTCTTCCAGGTTTCTTTATACTTTATGAACGTGGATTGCTTAAACCTGCACATCGCTCCAAAACGCAAAATGTTGACATATATTGTTTTTACATTTTCAAGCTCTAATATAAAGTTTATGTAAATAAAAATTGTTTTTTCTGCGTAATATCAAAGAACAATCATTTAGTTAAAAAAATAAAAAGGCGAATGCGGGATTCGAACCCGGGCCTCCCGCGAGCTAAGCGAGGATTCTACCGCTACACCACCGTATTATTATGAATGGTGGAAGTAATTGAACGCTACTTATTTTGAATGCTATGATTCGGAAGTGACGTCACGTTCTTCATTAGAAACCTTTCCAAAATCATATCGCCGGCTCCGATCGAAGCAAATTCAATGAAAAATCTTTGAAATGACACATTTATCGTAAATATTTCTACACAAGATTTGCCCCATTTGTTCATCATTCTATAATCTTTCATTAAGCTCAAAATGATAAAGTTCACCCCCGAAACAACCCAAGATTGCGTTTCGGAGCGAAGTCCAGCTTTAAGAAGGTTTATTAAGAGCCTTATTTTTTATGTCACCACCTCAAGCGGTGACAATTTGTTATAGTCTCTAACTTTTTTTGTGGATGGCGTTTTGAAGTTGGTGTTTGGCATTTGGTGGTTGACATTTGGCATTTGTAACAAATGGCAGGTTGTGACATTTTGCATCTTAAATGCCATGTTTGACACAATTTAAATGTATAATATTTCTGATGATCGCTATGTATCATTCTCATATAATTTAATTTATGGTTAAAATCAATGTGCTTTTCAGAGTGCTGATCTATCCCACTTGTCGGACAAAGAAAAATGGAGGTAAGTAATAGAACAATAAAGTCTCAAGTTTACTTAAGAGAGAAGTTTAAACAGTATCAGTTTAGAGGTGGTATCCATTACTGTTGTCAACAATTGGGAAAGAACAAAGATGGGTAAATGAAGATTTTGTTCAAATATTGATTACTAGTATCTAAATGAATTGCAAATCAACATTTTCAAATTTCAATATACCAGGAATGGGAGTGGTGTGGTTTGGACAACATCTTTAAACTAGCATCAAATTCAAGATTTTTTATTAATTATATTGTGTATTTATTTTATTAAAGCCAAAATCAAATGCATTCTCTGGTGTTTTACTTGATTTTTCAATCTTGCATATTGTTTCCAGTCTTAAACATGTTCTTATATTACAGGTACATTGAGATTCGGGGGAAATCTTTTCATGAATTTAATGAAAATATTTTTCATGAATCACGAAAGTGATTTTCAATCACAAATTAAGTATTCCATATACTCTCCGCGCAGAGTCTAGTTATAAACTACCCTCTGCCTAGTATAGACTATATTACAGTTTAGCAGCCTCGGCCCAAAGATTTGTTCCTGTGACAGCCCGCCCGGGTAATAAATCATTTCAAACCTACCACGCTGACCCTTTCTCAACCAGTCAGGAAAGTGGAAGGAGCACGTGCTAAATACGTGCTCATTAACATGCCAGGTGGCAGAGGAAATGAACATATAGAAAGTCGTCCATATTTTTTGACGTCGAACTCTGATTAGCTCGGTGAGATCAGAAAGATCAGAGCTCTCTTTTCAGAAGTGAAGTCAAACGAATGCAAAGGGTATATTCCATAATGATATACATGTACTTATAAATATCTTATAATGTATATTGTGAGTGATATTTTTCAATAATCTTATTTTATCTTTACAAAGTGACAATCAGATATTTGAAAAATGATTCCCATCTTGAAAAATATAATCTGAAAATGATACTATATAGTAATAATGAAAAGTTTATTTTATTTAGGTGGTTGAAATTAAGCATTATGAAATTTTGTTTGGGACTATAACCATGATATCGGGGCAGTCTAATTAATATGGCTACTGGTAAAATTAACCTTCTATACTAATGCAAGAAATAACCACCTGTAACCACTTTCAGATAATTATTGACACGCTGTTAAAATAGGCTTAATTAAAGCTGCCATGAATAATCTTGTCTTTTGATTCAATTTGATTGCATGTGGATGATCAGAAGCTGCTCGTCATATCCTAATGTTTGAGTGGAGTGAAATGTGCCATGAGGTTCAGCGTGGTATTGAGGCATTCATTGCGGTATTGAGGCATTCATTGTTGTATTGAGTCATTCAGTGTGGTATTGAGGCATTCATTGGGGTATTAAGGCATTCATTGTGGTATTGAGTCATTCAGTGTGGTATTGAGGCATTCATTGGGGTATTAAGGCATTCATTGTGGTATTGAGGCTTTCATTGTGGTATTGAGGCATTCATTGTGGTATTGAAGCATTTATTGTGGTATTGAGGCATTCATTGTGGTATTGAGTTATTCAGTGTGGTATTGAGGCATTCATTGCGGTATTGAGGCATTCATTGTTGTATTGAGTCATTCAGTGTGGTATTGAGGCATTCATTGGGGTATTAAGGCATTCATTGTGGTATTGAGGCTTTCATTGTGGTATTGAGGCATTCATTGTGGTATTGAAGCATTTATTGTGGTATTGAGGCATTCATTGTGGTATTGAGGCATTCATTGGGGTATTAAGGCATTTATTGTGGTATTGAGGCATTCATTGTGGTATTGAGGCATTCATTATGGTATTGCTCTGAGGTCATATCGTGGCTCCTGAGCTATCACCTCCTTGAATTTATTTCTTTTTTACATTGAATGCATTCATCACAAATCATATGAACTCCTGGAGCTCATTTTACCCATAATATTTGGTTGTCTTTTATCTATGGTCCACAAGATCTTGGACATCCAGCATCAGGATTGTGCTCTTGGGCGATTAGAAACTTTCGCAAGCTGTCAAACTTGTCTCGTTGATGTTCAAATAAATCTAGCAGACGTTTCATTTCACCTATATCTGAAAAAATATTTTTCACGAATCACAACATATTTGAAGCACATTATGAGAATTCCAGTCTTATCACATCTAATGAAATTTGAACAAAAATTTGAAAAAATGCCTCAATAGACAGGTTCCAATTTCAGAATATCTCAAGGGAAAAACTTTTTGAGGCATTTTTTAGAAAAAGCAACAGACCTATTTTTTCTGGATCAGTTTTTCATGCTGATAAAGATATTAAAAGATGACAGCTCAACGGGGTGGTCACGACACTGCATTTTAGCGTTTTTACCCCCCTAGGAAATTATCTTAGGGGGTACTATAATATTAGTTCATAACTCAAAGGATATATAAACTATTGTTCTGAGTTCTACAGCATACATTGTTAGTACAGAGATGAATACTATCCTAAAGTCATAGGTTGATATCTTTGTTGGTTTCGGAAAAATACAATTAATTAGAAAAAATATGCAATTTTTGTCATTTTTTTCTTGCTTATTTTATATTTGTAGCTTCAAGCAAAATATGATAACTTTAACAGCTCAAAGTAGTATTCTAACAACATTCCTAAGTTATGTTTGATATTGTAATACATCTATTATAGTGATGAAGTACTATTTTGTAATTTTAATATGACTTTATAATGCCCTACCCCTGGTAAATAGAAGAAAGTTGGTGTGGTTTTCTTCTGGTTTTAACATTTTATTGACTTCTTAGTTGAAGATACAATCAATTCTGTCAGTTAACCATGAGTAGCTTTACAATGGTTAACTATTCCCATGAATAGAGGGTTGGGACCTCAAAAATACCAGAACTGTTAAGTGGCATCCTTGGGCATCCCTCTTCAGAGCATTTTCCTTATACTCCGATGAAATCTGCAGGGGATACTATAAGAAACCTATATATCTAAGATACTAATGAAGATACTGAATTCAAATTTTCAGGATTTGGTCCTGGTATGATAGGTAATCTGTATGACAAAAATGACAAAAAGAAAAAACTCTGTTGCCATAGTAACAAGAATACCACACTATTTGTTTCCTAAGAAATGTGTTTTAAGAGGTTTTGTCATTCTCTTCATATTTTTAATTCTAAATATGTCTACAATGTGGGATGATTAGAATTATGGTAAAGTAATCTTTTCTATTGTTTTATTGTTCTCTAAAACAGAAGTTGCTAAGGCACATAAATATATAGATCATAGAAAAAATGCTGGGATGATCGCTCTATTTGTCAGGAAATTAAAATGGAAACTGAAAAATGAGTTTCTTCCCACTGAATAGCAATTAATTTGGTAGACCATGGCTGACACGCACAAGAGAAAACGTTTATCAGTTCTATGTCATTGTGTTGTTAGTTTTTATGTATCGTGGTCTGGGACTTATAACACCTAATGCCGAGTCTTCTCCAACTGCAAAGGAAGGCAAGATTTTAATAATGAACATTCATATATCTCAACAAATATGGCCTAAGACAATGATAAGGAAACTCTGAGGGAAAATTAGACGAAACATTAATGTGAGTGGTCCAAAAATAACACTAACATGTTTTGGAAAAGTTATGCTCTCGGGTGAATCAGTGCTCATTTAAGGATAGTCTGAATCAGGTGAATTTTTTACTTAATTGTACCCCTCCCCAAAACCCCCAAATTTTGACGAAATTGTCGAAAAGTGGCAAACAACATTCATTAAAGTTCAATATGGCTATTTCGCATCTATGTCATAAAGATATGATACGATCTCAGGTCAATCAATAAATTTCACAAGTGACACTCTATCTTATGAAGAAAATACTATCGTATATTTGAAGACATGTCAAAAATTTGGTGGAAATAAATTGTGTCACTCCTGATTTGACCTGCAAATGTTCAGGTAAGTTATCACAAACAATTTCAGACAGTTTATGTTTATGTTTATGTATATGTATCTTTATTTCCACCTATGCAGATGAGTACATAATAATTATAAAGTTAGTGTAGCAATATTAAAAATATAAAAATAAAAATATATATATTTACAACGCAAACTGTGTTGATTTAATAGTTTATAGAGCTATAGCTGCAGCTCTTGTTTTTAACATGTGTTTGACACTTAACATTATCTTCACATACATTCTGTAGTCTAATGCTTCATTTTTTCCTAGTAAGACCTCCATTTTTTCAACCATATTATATCCATCAAATATTCTGTCACTTAAAACTGCCAACAAGTCACTCCTACTTTCATGAAGTTCAAGGCAATCTAAGAGAAAATGCCTTGTCGTTTCATTTGTCATCCCACACAGAGGACAAATGGTGTCATAGTTGAGTGGGAAAGCACCTGTTAGCAGTTTTACCATATCCCTACACATCCCTATATATTTATAATTCGATTGACAGATTCTCCACCATACGCATGGTTTTATCGTAACTTGTATCGTTCTATAAACGCTAAGTCTGTTAGATATGTTACATAACAAGTGCCATCTGTCTTCTTCATACTGCATTATGCGTGCTTTAACAATCCGTTTCCACGCACATTTGGGCATCAGGTCATAATTCAAAAAATATTCATCAATATATCGCCATAAATTGTATCTTGTCACAAGGTTCAAAACTGCATTTATTACTGAATAGTTGCTATACAACTTTGAATGTTCAGAAATTGACTTCCATCTAAAGAACTCAATTATAAAAATCATTTTATACACACATGTGGTTGGTAGATTTAGGATACACCACAGAAACATTAACTTTTTTGTATCTATGACCGCACGAATCCTCGACCAGCCCAGTTGTGCCAAGGAAGCTTCGTTATGCACATTACATGGCAATTGTTGAATACGTTTTGCTATTTGTCTATGTGTCAATTCAAGGGAATCATAATCACATTGTTTCAATGGCAGGATATCCATACCGTATGTCATGGATGGTACCGATATGGACCAATATAAAATAGAGGCCGTCAGTGGATTGTATTCGAAGGAGTCACTGCTGAGAAGCCCCACCCCCGCGTTGATAGCCCTTCTAGCCTTTCCCATTGCATTATCAATATGTTGTTTCAAGTTACCATTTGTATTTAAAATGAGACCCACATGTGTACATTCTCTGACATGATCCATTTTATCTGGTCCAAGGTAAAAACACAAGTCTTTGCGGCCCTGTCTCTCTTTAGTGCAAACCATCAACGTTTTTGACTTCCCAGGGTGGAAGGTGAAACGCCATCGCGTACTGAAACGATATGCTATGTCCAGTAATGTTTGTAAGGACCTTGGGAACACAGCCATGAGGATCAGGTCATCGGCGTATGTGGGTGAGGTTACATTAATATTGCCGATTCTGCATCCAGCATTGCTTTGTTCGAGTTCCTTTAAGAGGCTATTTGTGAAACGCATATAGAGCATCAAACTACAGACACCCCCCTGATGGACTCCCTGGTTAATGAAGAAAGGATCAGACATAGTTTTTCCCACTCTAACCCTGCATTGATAATCCGAATACCAAATTTTCAAAATTCTCCATATTTTCCCCTTGAAACCTTGGTTAAAGAGTGTATACAACAACCCATCTATCCAGACAGAATCGTAACATTTTTTAATGTCCAATGATGCTATATATGTATCACTACCCCTGTCCGCATTATGCGCGACAGTCTCCCGCACGACCATCGATGTGTGGATACAAGAAGTACCATCTATTGCTGCCCCTTGCAGACAATGTATCGGTTCAATGTTATTATCGGCCTTAACTCGTGCTATGTATAAATTTTCAAATAGTTTGCTAAATATGGTCATTAACGTGATACCCCTATGGTTATCTTTTTCTAAAATATCTTTGTTCCCTCCTTTGAATAACGTTATTAAGACCCCTATTTTAAAAGAATCCGGAAAGAACTCATTTTCGATTATAGCATTGAATAGATACGTTAAGACCGAGATTAACCTTGTACCACCGTACCTTATATGCTCTGGGGTGACAAGATCGTGCCCCGGTGCTTTATTTAATCTCAATCTATCTATAGCAGCGATAACTTTGATTATGACTATTTCCTGACCATGAAGACAGGTATACAGGGATAATAAAGTCAATCGGACTCCACTTTTCTTCTTAGGAAATAGAACATGTCTTAAAGCATATTCTAATTATGCATTCAACAATATAATTAAAGGTTGCATCTTTGGTATAAACTAGGTCATCATTTTTAGTAAAAAGTATGTTGATTGGGCCATTCCCTTTAATATCACTTAGGTCTGATTAATCATTTTATTTACTTTTCTTGAAGATAATGAATAGATCTAAAAGATATACCTATGTTCATGGTCAGAAAATATTCATAATTCAAGTTAGAATTGACCTTTTTCCATATAAATGAAAAATAGATGGCATCATGGGTATTGGTAGAGCTTGGGTAGGGCTAGAATACATGTAAATGTATTGCCAGAGTCACATAATTTCTTGATTTAAGAAGTAATTCCATTTGGATCAACTTAAAACATCATTGGAATGTAACTTTATGATCTTATTGACATGTGGATTGTGATTTCACATTAAAATTGTGATCCTTGGAAGATTAAATGAACTTTTTAAGGTTTTTCAGCATTGTGTCAATGGGGATTTAGCCTGACCTTTTTTAGACAACCAGTAAATCATTAGAATTTGAATAATGGTAAATTACAGTGCATATCAAAGTTGTTTTGATAGAGAATTACTCACAGAATTCAAATATGCCATGATGGAAGAAAACATTAGCCTAGTTTTTAATGGTTAAAAATGCAGATCTCCTAAAATCTCATTAAAAACAAGACCTTAGCGAGATTTCAAAGCTATATGGAAAAAGGACCAATGTTTGCGATAACCTACATGCTCCTTTATAACATTATTATGTAAATACTATCAAATGCTTTAGTCATGACAGTTGAAGTAAACTGAAGTCTTGGTATTTAAATGCAGAATCAGATCTATGTAGAGTAAACAAAATTTAAAGCAACATGTACAGTTGACAGTACAGTGTGATGCAACATCGGTGGGAAAGTCATCTTTGGTTAATAAAAAAGATTCTTAGCTACTTTTCTAACATCTGGCTGTGATGCATCATGGCTTAATGAGGACTCTGCTATATGGTCAGATGATGAGAACTAACAGTTTTAGGGAACTTTTGCCATGTTTTGCACATTGTAAATGACCCTTCTGAATGGGTTGTAAAGGTATATACCAGGAGGTATATATGGCTCAAATGACTCGTGCCCTAGTACATGGGGCACTGTAGTACATTACTTGTGCATGATGACCACCATAGTCTAGTTGCTCAAATGAGATCAATTGATGATTATAATGTTTAGACTTTATGTCAATGTCCTCTCTAGTATGTGATTACACTAGATTTCATTATGATACATGTACTAAATTGAAAACTTACATATAAAATATCTTAAGTCCTATATTCTAGTAATAAATGAATTAGAATGTCACCTAACATTTGATGATGGTATGAATTTATTGATTTGGCGTCTATCAATACATGTTTCTAACTTAATGCTGCAAAATGATTAAATTCACCACATCCACTTTCTTTAATTTTCCAGGGGTAGGGCACTATAAAGTCATATTAAAATTACAAAATAGTACTTCATAACTAAAATAGATGTATTACAATACCCCATATAGCCTGGAAATGTTTTTAGAATACTACTATGAGCTGTTAAAGCTGTCATATTTTGCTTGAAGCTACAAATATAAAATTGGCAAGACAAAAATTACGTATCTTTTTCCTGTTTATTGTATTTTTCTGAGACCAATAAGGGTATCAACCTATAACTTTAGGATAGTATTCATATATGTACTAGCAATGTATGGTGTACAACTCAGAACAATAGCTCATATATCCTTTGAGTTATGAACTAGTTTCATAGTACCCCCTAGAATATTTTCCTAGGGGGGTAAACATGCCAAAATTCAGTGTCACGACCACCCCGTTGAGCTGTCATCTTTTAATATCTTTATCAGCTTGAAAAACTGATCGAGTAAAAATAGGTCTGTTGCTTTTTCTAAAAAATGCCTCAAAAACTTGAATTATTAGAATTGGAACCTGTCTACAAGATTAGAAACTTAAAAATTGTCCAATTTCTTTAGATTTTAGAGTTTATCGAGATCTTGATCTCAAATAAATTTTGTTATTACATTTCTAATTCCATCGATATTTTACCCAGTCCTTTTCAGATAAACTGAACTAAGTTTCTGTCAACTCATAGATGTCAACTTAAGCGCCAATGGTTAGCAACACTAACATCTGACTATTTTAGATGATTTCATTATTTAATGCTTATACTCCAGATACTTCATTATTTAATGCTGATGAAATATGCAATTGTGACTTATACAGTCTTTTATTATGGAGTTAGAATGTATAGAGCATTATAGGAAGAAATATATCTTGATTTCCTAACTACATTGTCACATTACTGTATATACATGTACAAAGACAGTATCAAAAAATGAATAAGCTCTTGGACAGGGTCTACTTACTTGTACAGCAGCGTTTGTAGGATACAAAACCTCTACAGCAGACTTCTTGGTCCTTGGGACAAGGCCTTGGTAACAAAGAGATTCCATAGATAATCTGGCTGTAGGAAATATGGCTGAAAAATTCACATATTGAGGATGAAAATGGTGTGAGGTCAAATTTTCTTTAATTGATATAGATTTACTGACGGAAAGCTTCAAATGTAACAAAAAAGTGGTCAGTTATTCATTATAATAACACATTCCTGCACATATGTTGATGCCTTTTTTACATTAATGAGACGTCATGTCGTCACTGCTGTTTATAGTTTCTAAGTATTGGTCTCAAGATAAAATTTGACTGTTCTTTTTTATCAATACATGTAATACTTTTTCAGCTTAAATGAATTATATTCTACCGGACTTTTTCTGTAGAAATTGAATCACAATCTAGTTTACATTCCCCTTCCAATTCAAAGAAGGTTCTGTACTGCACAAAAAATATCTACTTGAAAATACATGTCATTAATATTATAGCAATTTTGTCCCCACCAAGCATAAATAAGGTGAAGAGGGGAGGGGGTGGGTGTACTGTTTGACTGTGTAATGTGTGACTGTATAAATTGCAAGAAATATTTCAGTTTAAATAGCTTGGCATCTTAAAATATCTGACTAAAACAATGATTTACTATAACATGTTAAAAAGTACATATGTACTATAATAAAGAAACTAATTTTCTGAAAAAATCTATAGTGTTTTCTACTGTCCCAGATTTTATAATGTAATGAAAATTAAAGTTACAAACTCACTCCATCGAGGGCATCTACCCCAGCCCCACAATCCGCACCCTTTGTACCCTGCCTGGACATTTCTGTATGCTGGCCGCCATCTTGTTTCCCAGTGAGCTTTTAGCCTCGACTGAGGGGGAACATTAACCTTACAACAACATTGAGTCGCATGTAATTGTTGATGCTGCGGTTGTGCTCTTGGTTGATCAATAAGTGCAAGTGGTAGCATTTTGGCAAAATTGTCCCCACGGCTTGAAGTTCTGATACTAGAACTTCCTACTGCCCCCTTGCCGATACTGTTCACTGTGGCTTCCAGTCTCTGTTTGCTCTCAGCACTGATGCTCGCATTGTTCATGATGTTATTCAGTCGATTCAGCACTTCTACCCCTTCTGGTTCTACCCCCGAGAATACAACAGATCGTTTATTCCTCCCACCAACCTCCATGTATTCATCCTTGTAGTTCTCCGGTATGAAATCAGAGATGTACACATCAGGGAACTTTGCGTCCAATCCATGTATGAAGATACTTTGGATGACAATTACAGCTGTGAAATACAGTCCAAGTGCCATGTCTTTTGCCCAGACCCTTCCTCTGTTATTATAGGTCACAAGCTTAGTTTATAATTGTGATCACTGGGGATTGTTGCCTATCTTTCCTCAGAAGCAACAGATTGGTCCTATTTTGAAATGAAACTGATAAATTTTGAACCCAGCAAGAAATGTATGACTATAATTTATATATCAGAATTGATAATCTAATAATTGTGGTTATCCCTTCGTCTGTAAATATAGATTTTATTGAAGGAAATAACTAAATATCATTTATTAGCTTTTTTAGAAATGTTATTATTGCTAGCAATCATGTCATGCCATATTAAAGGGTTTTAATTTACTTTGACAATGTAACTATAGTCATTTTCAGTTCAATTTCCACCACCAAAGAGAACATTATTATCCTTAATTGACTGCATCAATTTTTACAGTTTAACTTTTTAGGGCAAATGCTCAAAAAATGTTTAAACATCATGAAGTTTGACAACATCCTACATAGGATTGACAAGTACATGCATGCATGAAAAGATGGTGCTACCTCTTGTACTAATGTTACATTTATTCTCAAACATTGTTATAATGTCACCACCAAAAAGTGGTGACATATTGTTATGGTCTCCGTTTTTTGTGACGGCGATCGGCGGGTGGCAGTGGCGATCGTTGGTTAGTAGTTGGTGGTTGGCGTCTGTAACAAATTCTTGCAGCTTTCAATAACTTAACAAATACTGTTTAGACTGACTTCAATTTTTCAAAATCATCTACAAGTTTTCAGATGTTCAAATCTGACTTTATATTTAAGATTTGACCCTCAATAGCCTTCTCAAGGTCAAAAAAGTCAAAAGGGTATTTTTTCAACTTGCCTCAAATTGACCAATTTTTTTTCAAAATCATCTACAAGTTCTCAGAAGTTCAAATCTGACTATAGATTTGACCTTCAATGACCTTGTCAAGATCAAAAGAGATTTGACCTTTAATGACCTTCTCAAGGTCAAAAAGATCTTTTTTCATCTTGCTTCAAATTGACCAATCTTTTTTCAAAATCAGCTACAAGTTCTCAGAAGTTCAAATCTGACTATAGATTTGACCTTCAATGACCTTGTCAAGGTCAAAAGAGATTTGACCTTCAATGACCTACTCAAGGTCAAAAAGGTCTTTTGTTCATCTTGCTTCAAATTGACCAATCTTTTTTCAAGATCATCTACAAGTTCTCAGAAGTTCAAATCTGACTTTAGATTTGAGATTTCACCTTCAATGCCCTTCTCAGGGTCAAAAAGGTATTTTTCAACTTGCTTCAAATTGACCAATTTTTTAAAACATCATTTACAAGTTCTCAGAAATTTAAATCTGACTTAAGATTGAACTCATAATATTGTGACCAGCTAGGTGACATAAGTGACATTTTGCCATGTTATGTTAATGCCTTGTTCTCTTATATTTACAGAGTGGAGCATGTGAGGTTACATGAGAAACACAAAGGGCATGAGTCCATGCATGCAGAGATGGTGCTAATTCTTATAACAACCCTAATTGTTGCTCAAGTACTCTTAGTGCAATGGAAGAAAAGACATTTCAAATCCTACCAGGTATTTAAATTCCTAAATCCACATAACAATAGATAATTAAACTAGTAAAAGTAGTAGAATATATACGCGTTATGTTATGGGAGGTTTTGTATATGGGGTATATCCTGAGGGAAATATAGATATCTTACCGAGGGCCTGGACTTTGGCGGGTTCAAGGTAAGATATCATATTTCCTGAGGGATATACCGGTAAGCCATATTCAAAACCAAGCATCGAACCTGAAACCTCACTTGTCATCGAATAAAACTGCATCTGTCACTGAGTGTACATTGAACTGAATGGCATAACATTGTATTTGCATATTATTTATGTTACAGACAGCAACACTGGTAGGGATGTGGGTAATTCCAATTATATTCTGTGTTCACTTTGGCTGGTGGAGGTTCCCTTTCTTCTGGGCTGTATTTTCCCTAATTACAGGCCTTGTCACCATGAAAGCCAATAGGAGACCTATATCTGGCAGTACACCAAGGTAATCAGCTCTTCCATTTGAAGACTTCTGGTCAGGAATTTGACCATTTGAAAAGCAAAATCTGCCTACTGTGTTTCACTGTTATGTAAATTACAAATTTTCTGCCTGTTTCTATGTCACCACCAGAAGTAGTGACATAAAGATATAGTCAGCAATTTTTATGGATGGTGTTCTGCAGTTGGTGTTCGGTGCTCAGTGTCTGTAACAAATGGTATGTTGTATCTTAATGCCTTGTTAAAGCAGTAAAAGTGCTTGTATTGAGGACAACTGTTGACACGGGGCCTATCATAGTATCATAGGATTAGTATAGTAATAAGTCAATTCTTCATTTAGCAGGGTGTGTCTTCTAAAAGGTTCACCACCAAAAAGCGCTGATGTGGTCTCTTAACTTAACAATTACTGTTTTTTTTGTCAAAATCATCTACAATTTCTCAGAATTTCAAAGGATGTGTCCGGGTATATGCCCTTTTGGTCCCTCAGTCAAATGTATGTTAAATATGTTTTTTATTACTGTCCTAGTTATATTTGATAAGTATATTTACTTTTTCACGAGTTTTGATGCAAAATTAACCCCCTGCTGAGAGTCAGAATAAGTATCTTAACCAAAAAAAATAGTCATTATCATAGAATAAAAACCTCAATGGCAAAATGTATGACTTGCAAAGAAGAAATAACTTAAGACCCATGAAAAATTTAAAAGAAAATCATATTTTTGAAATATATTTAAGGATTAAAATTTTTTTCAAATTTTTGAATTTCCCGCCAGTTTAATTTGAAGGGGGAAAAACAAGATGGCTGCCATTTGATGTAAGAAATATCAGAAAAAAAGTTGCTTCACTTTTAGTTTTCACAATGAGCACAGTTTTCCTGTTTAGGTTTTTTGACTGATTCTGACTCTTCATCACCAGGGTCATGTATAGAGATTATAAAATTGAAACCGGAATGTTGTGCTCAGCATGAATTTGACTGAAATATGTGTAACTTCACCAAAACAATTGAAGTCTCAAAACTGGATGCTCAGTAACTTTGAGTGACTATAATCCCTTGATTACCCAGATAAACACCAATTCACTTATCCAGAAATGCCATTCAATGTCTATACAAAAAAAGTAAGCAATGTTTTGGAGGATATGTTTCAAACCTTTTGTATAAATAATTCATTTAATATTTGCCATTGATTTTTTTTCAATTCTGACAGAGTGATATGCACTGTCTTTGATGCCAATATTCTTCATTAATTGTGATACAAATTGATATTTTTGTACTCTCAGAAGAAGGATAAGATATTGAAGTTTAATAATATGTGTGATTGAGTTGGTTTTTCAGACATTACAATTTTCAATATTTTCTAAGTCGATACCCAGACTCATTCCCAGACTCATCCTTTGAATTTACATTTGAGATTTCACCTTCAATGACCTTCTCAGGGCCAAAATGGTCTTTTTTAACTTGCATCAAATTGACCAATTTTTTTTCAAAATTCAATTCTCACTTAAGATTGAACTCATTGTGAACAACTAAGTGGTGACATTTTGTCATGTTAATGCCTGGTTATGTCATTACCTCAAGTGTATGGTGTTCTTTTTTCTGGTCAGTGTTTGGCATCTGTAACAAATGGCAGGTGGTGACATTTTGCAAGTTTATGCCTTGTTGCTCTATGACATCATCAAATAAGTTTAATTTTTGCATGAGCGAACAAATTAATAAATGTTATAATTTTAAAAAAAATGTTTGCTTTCAGATTGGTCTACAAATGGTTTTTGCTGATCTATAAAATAAGTTATGCACTAGGAATCCTTGGCTACCTCATCATAATGTTCACCTTATTTGGATTGAACATCCTGCTTCTCATTAAGCCCAATGTTGCCATGGATTTTGGACTATTGTTACTTTTCTATGGGTTATATTATGGGGTCGTAGGACGGGATTTTGCCGAAGTTTGTACAGATAAAATGGCTTCACATATAGGAGTAAGTATTTCATAAGATAAAGAGTTCTAGTCCCGCTATCCACAATTATTTTCAATACAGGGGTTTCCCCGGGATTTTTCAATTTTTATCATAAATTGGCTACTGGCTCTATTATATCAGTTAGAATTCAGATGTCTAGGCTTAAAGGTGTAACAAATACTTGATAGAGTAACTACAGAATTTGTCATGGTTTTCAAAAAAAACATACTCCTATCATTTAAATTCATGCTTATTTTCAACAGTACTGACCTTATGACATGTTGATGCTTTGATTTCTAGCTTATTTGGCAATAGATTTGAAAAAGTAGAGAAAATCCTACTCATGAATCCTTCTCATGAATTTTGATATTTTTGCATAATATTATCAAATATCCTTATTTTTGGAATAATAAAACAACTATATAATATTAGGTGAATATTATCATGTTTTTTAGAAAATATAGCTTCCAATGTTTTAAACCTCTTTGGTGCCACTTTAAAAAAAAAACTGAATTTTGCAGTAGAAAACCCTAAATCAGTGACATTTTCTCCATATATGCGGAAACTGACTCAAATTGAAATGAATATTTTGTTTTGTTATATTCCAGTATTATACTTCCACAGGGGTGCCTACGAAACATTTAGCTCCAAATATCTGCTCTGTTTGTGGCAATAGAATTCTCACCAACGATGAGGATGGCGATGGTATAATAGAAAAAACTTATAAATTGTCCTGTGGACATATGTATCCTTTATGTAAAAAAATAATTATGCTCAAGAGTAAAAATATACAAGCAGGCCCAAAAGCTTTGGCCAGAGGGGGTACCGCCCTGGGAAATTTTTGCTCCATGGCCAGATTGCACCCTCCGCAACCCCCTCCCTTCCCCCCCTGCTTAAGTGTTATGTCAAAACGAACAAACAGCAAATGAACGAACAGCTAAGAATGCATCTTTAAACAACACCAATCAGAAATTTGCATTTGGTAACGTGAGTACTACAAACAATTTCCGAACTGGAGTAAAAATAGATTTAACAGAACTACACCAATCAAACCATTCTGGGGAGATCTAGGGTGCCCAAAAGATTTTTTCTCCATGGCTGGAGGGGATGCAATAGCAGATATGCACCTGCCTTACCTCATGCCTGGCTGCATCCTTGTATTTATGTCAGGTAATAATTGACATTTTCCAAATATATAAAGTTCACTGGTCAGTATCAAGCAAAGGTTACCACATTCAAGATGGCGGAAATGTCGATTTCGATATTTTTAGTTTTCATCAAATTAAACTACTTTAAGTTGACATAATGCTTTGATATTTGAACTTAACCAGCCTTATATGACATGGAAACTCTAGGTACGATCAATTGCTCATATATTGAGTGTAGGTGCCACAATTCAACGATATTTTCCACCGCTTAGGGAAGGTTACTGGGATTTTGGTTTCATGACCTATACTGTAACATACATTTCAAGTAACCTCATAAGGTTGTAAATATCTTCTGATAATATATAACGCAATTTCATTGTCAAAATATAAAGATTTATACACAGTACTTCTGGACATTTAATCACCAATCATGTATGCCATGAATATTTCCTTAACCAAGTTTCAGATTCCATGAATTTTGTATACGAGGCTGGTGCATTGTGGGTAAAAAGCAGACATGTCCATACTGCAAGGAGAAAGTGGATCTCAAGAGGATGTTTGCTAATCCGTATCCTTTAAAAAATTATAATCTTTTACAATCATCTTTAATATGTATCACTTCAAAATTTATGTTATTGTTAGTTTACAAGATCCAAGTACGGGTTTGCAATAGATTTGGCTTACTTTGGTTCAAAAATACCTCAACATTTTTGAAGCCACACTGTGTTTTTAATATCCAGTGTATTAAAAAAACTAAAAATTCTCATCCTCTAATGTAATTAATATGGGAAAAATTGATATTCTTTCTCTTTTTTATCACTTGAAGATTTCTAGTTTTACAGTACCTCAGCAATGGACAATAACTTTTTGGTCTTTTGATTATTTCCATTGAGAAATTGAAGCTATATCTTGTCATAACAAATCTTACTTAAAGAGAGAATCAGATATAGCGAGCAGGCCAAACAAAAAATTGTTTCATTTTTAGAATATTTTTGGCTCACGTCATTCCTTGTCATGTCTATTTTCTAAAAATCACAAAAGTGCATACTTTATTCCAGGAAAACTAAAGATTTTTACAATAATGTATTATTTTCCTATAAGAATGGTTACCATTCTTATTATTTGGGAGAATTTAAACATTTTTCACTCATTTTTGCACTTTGAATCATTATAACTTCACCAATTTATAACATATTGTGAATCTTTTGGGAGATATTGTATTTGATATTGTAAGGAATAGATTGGTAGGTCAGTTATACATGTTGCTTGTAATTTTGTCACCCCTTATAGATCAGATTCTGCCTTTAATTCATTAGATTCATATGATTTTGTCACAAAGATAGATGAAATATTTGACCTTGACCTCTAAAACAGATGGGAACGTCCTCATGTTTTATATGGTAATTTATTAGACTGGATACGATATTTGGTTGCCTGGCAACCAGTTATCGTTATGATCGTTCAGGGAATAAACTGGAGTTTAGGCCTGGAGTGAAGACATAGAAATCCATGATTGGTTGATCCAGAGGACTCATAACAGTGGCATTCTCACATATGTACCAGTTCTTGAACCCGATTCATAATATATTCTAGAATTATTCATGAACAAACAATTATAGGCAGTTCAGACATACAGATTCCTTCAAAGATGTTTGTGTGCATATAACCAGCCTATCTTGTTATTACTATATTGTAACTTCAATGCCATATTGGACATACTGTAAAATATATTTATTTCATGCTTGAAATTTTCAAGATTTCTCAATTTCTTTCTATTTGGTTATCAATAGATATATAATTCTTGTCCACTGATTTTAGGGGAAAAGACTGAAGCCCTGTCAAAGGAAGGGAATAACCTAAACCACAACTTGATAGTTTAATATAGAGCATTAATAAATACAAGGAGTGAAAATAATAATCTCTCCTAGAATAATATTTCCCATCATGCAACATTCTTAGCAGACGTCAAGTAGTTAGAAATGAAAGGATAAGTCAATGAATTAACATCTCAGGATATGTGTACATGATTACTTGTTTTTGTTCTGATTAAAAGAATTGACTGAAATTTGATATCATATTTTATTATTTACATGCTGTGATACTCATTCTCTCATTGGTCAATTAGGTACCATGTGACTAAAAATAAATATTGGTATTTGTCATGGTCTTGTTAATATCTTTGTAGTACATGTATATATTTGCAGATGAATACAACTAGTCTTTTTGTTGATAATTTGAACAACACATTGATCAATACAAACCCTCAATACTGCTCATTATCGTATGATCTGTAAAATGAAGCCCTCTGATTGGTCAGTTCTTGTGCTGTACCAATATATTGCTACTGAGGTTGTTCCTATTGATCATATCCGTAGCAATACAGAAAATATTGGTATGGAGGGGACAATCTCATAGCAATACAGAGAATACAGAATATACACTGAATATTTCCTGGGGATTATCTCCTAAGTAAAATGTATTGGCCTAAGATCACACGATAAAAAACATCTTTGAAGTTTTGTACATGATTTGAAGTTGTCTTTTTGTTTTTTTTAATTGATTTTTATTTCAGGTTTAGCAGCATTACAATTCAATAAATACAAATGTTCAATATAAACATAGGTTCTACATTAATTCTATAATAAATTGCAGGTATTTCTGCCAAGAGCACCACGAATAGATAGAGTATTGACTTGTTGCTACATTTTATGTAGATTCTTCTTGAAAATTCAAGTAAATTCATTATGTTCTAATAAATGTTTGATCTCTCCCCACTTGTCCCCTTTCTCCAACTTTACATCTAGTTGAAAATATTGTTGCACATTACTTTTAAAACCTACAAAATTTGGTCGTACATTTTTACATTTACATAGATAAATATATATGATTTGAAGTTTAATACAGCATATATTCTGCTCTCGATATTCTGTATTGGTACTTGACCGTCTCGTGCCAATACAGAATTTCTCAAGCAGAATATATCCTATACTGCACTTCAAATCATTCAATAACTTTTCAATAACAAGTTTTAAACCAGTTTGGCCTTTTTAAATTTATCAAGTCAGCCTGTGATTCAAAAGGAAAATAAACTATTTTATGTTTTCACCTGATGTTTTCCTGGAGCCTATATGTTGTAGTACTGTTCAAAAATTGATGGGGAATCTTTGAAAACTAGTGAGAATCACCCATTATGTGTTTATTTTTGTTGTCTCAAAGTTTGTCATATGTTACACTTTTCTGTTAGATGGTGAAATTTTGTTCATTCATCCTGTAAAGACATTTTACATAAGGAAACAGTATGACTAACATTAATGGTACTATGTATGTTCTTTGCCATATTTTTAAATTCCCTCAACAATATATTGAGTCAATGTTAACATGAAAATAATTATAGTCAATTAATAAGTTATATTATTTGTGATATTGTAAATAAAAAAACGATATATGTTGTATAAAGTATTTCAAAATGAATTCAACTTTTAGTACCATTGTAAACATAAATGTTCAAAGTATGAAATATATTGAGCCATTGAACAAATGGCCAGACTGAATATAGGTTGACAATTTTGTTGAATATGTGTATTTTTGTTGGACCTCCATACCGTATTACTGGTCCAAATGTTGACCTTTATTTGGCATTTGCAGACTTGTCTTATTGATTAAATCTATGTCATGTTTAATTGCTTTAAAAGTACTTTATGTGTGGGCCAGTAAAACGAGCGTTTGTTGTGCATTTGGTGACACAAGAATCCTGTCATTGAGATCGTAAGAAAACCATCTGTTTAAATTTTTACAGATGGAAAACAGACTAGTGTTAAAATGTCATTAAGTTTTGAGAATGCCAGGTAGTTAACCATATAACCATTGTGCAATATTTATCCCTGTTTATTTTGTTTTAAAAATCACCATTTAAAGTGTTTTCATTTAATTTGAATGAATGGAATCAAATGACAAAAATCTTAAAAACAAAATGACAATACATCAACATGAGTAATTTTTTCAATCAAAAGTCAATACCAATTTTCCTTATTAAACCTATTAAAAATGTGAAAATGATATCTGCTAGATGTATGCAAATCAGTGCTTTAGTGTATTGAAATTATCATCTCATTCTGGGAGGTTGAACGGAAAGATCCCAAGATCGCATTTCCAGTACTTTACTCAAAACTTATATTTCTGTTAATTTAATTAGAAGTGACAGCAACTGACAGACAGAGAATGACATGTGAGAAACAATCTTCTCAATAAACATGTCAAAGTGCCCTCTACCATTCGTAAGTACATTATCTGATAAAAAAAGATATGATATGTGTTCAAACAAATATGATAATATTGTTTCATTATGTATTATTCACACATACAGTAACTAAGCAAGATGTGTCCGATTTCGGCTAAACCAAACACGCTATTTCATATAACTGCACTGCATTATATAACTAACAAGGTCATTTGTCGAATGGTTGTCAAGATGACAACTTGACTCTACAGATTGAAATTGATGCTTTGTCAATTGGACCCTAGAAAATGTTTCATTGAAAATATGTTCTTTTAGCGATTTTGTATCTTTTAGGTAATTTCACAGAAAATATTTTGCAATGTGTGAAAAGAATTTAAGCCCAAGACTTGATGCATTGTAGCTGATTCATTCCACTCAGGCTTTATTTCCTACACTCGGTGCTGCACATTTCGTGCTCCAGGGCTTAAGTCCCTAAGTCTTGTTTCAAACACCTGATACCCCCCCCCCCTATTCACACCTGCCCCCCCCCTTCACCTCTAAACAAATACGAGGGGGTAAGAGTGGCCCATAGATTTAAGCTAACTCTAATTATTCAAAATGTTCTTAACTTATCTGGATCCTTTAAGTCCCCATTTAAAGTCTAAATTTTTTATTATTCAAATATTATTGCTCAGTAGTTGTTACATAAAAATGTCTGAAAAATTGTAAATAGAAAAAAATGTTGTTAGCCCTTAAATTTGAATCTCTCGAATTCTCTGAACACAAGTTCAGAGTTATTTGATTAATATAAAATATTCTGTTCTAAAATAGTAAAACATTATTTTCAAAATGTCACTAAACTAAAAGGTACAATGTCAGTAAAAGCCAGACATCTTTAACTTCATATCATTTTTACACATTGTTTTATTTATTTAATTTATTTTTTCTTGTATATATTAGATAAATTGCATTTTGACAACATCGGGTAAGACTGAAATACACGAGGCTTAAACTTTACATGTGGTCTTTAACTCACCCTATTAACTTATCCTGTCTAACCAAGAAATCTTTAATGATACTGAACTTGTACGTGAACTTGTAGAATTATGGTCCTCTATGATTTAGTCTTCCCATTTGAAGTGTTTACTTGGCCGATTGAGTATAAAAATATACGGAAAATTTGATTAATTAGAGGTAGGCTAGGCTATAATTGAGACGGACTAGCTCCATCATGTTTAGTTATAACCATCTGGTGCTCTTTAGATTTTTTCCTGACACCAATGCAATGATGCACCGATGCTGTTCTTACTATTTACCTGCCATTCAGCAAAAAGTGAGCTCCATCGAAAAATCATGACATCATTAAATGTCATGATTTTAATCTAAAACAATCGAGACGTTGAAAGGGAGGCAGTAATCCCCAGAGGGTCAAATCATTATACGTGCATGTACAAGTTGCTCAAAAACATGTAACTTAAAGAGAGAATCAGATCTAGCGAGCAGGCCAACAAAAATTGTTTCAATTTTAGAATATTTTTGTCTCATGTCATTCCTTGTCATGTCTCTTTTCTAAAGATCCACAAAGTACACTCTTCATTTCAGGAAAACTAAAGATTTTTACGATAATAATTATTTTTCTATAAGAATGGTTACCATTCTTATTATTTCGGAGAATTTACTCATTTTCACCTATTTTTGCACTTTGAATCCATAATAACTTCTCCAATTTATAACATATCGTGAATCTTTTTGGAGATATTGTATTTAAGATTGTGAAGAATAGATTGTTAGGTCAGTTGTACATGTTGCTTGTAATTTTGTCACCCCTATATATCTGATTCTGCCTTTAATCTCCCTATTGTAAAAGAAATATTAGAACCTCAGAAAAAAATTTTGGAACTCCCCAATCGTCTTCAGATAAAAACGTTTACAGATTTTTTTTTTAGTTTATGAATTGACCATTTTAAAACAGTTGAATGCATTTTGTTTAACAGATGAACAAGGCGAACCTGGAGCTCCTGGAGTCGATGGTAGGCCAGGATTGGATGGAATACCTGGATTGAATGGCACACCAGGATTGGACGGAATACCTGGATTGATTGGCACACCAGGATTGGATGGAATTCCTGTTGTTAAAGGTGACATCGGCCCTCGTGGTCCAAAAGGTGACATTGGTGAATATGGATTGAACGGAATACCTGGCCCAAAAGGAGACACTGGAATGCCTGGCCCTATTGGTGTGCCTGGAATTAATGGTGCACCCGGTCTTAAAGGTGACATTGGCATACCTGGACCAAATGGAATACCTGGAGGTAAAGGTGAAATCGGCCCTCGTGGCCCAAAGGGTGACATTGGTGAGTTTGGATTGAATGGAATACCTGGCATTAAAGGGGAGATTGGTCCTCGTGGTCTAAAAGGTAGCATGGGTCCTCGTGGTCTAAAAGGTAATATGGGTTTAAGTGGACCAAAGGGTAACGTGGGTCTTAGTGGCCCAAAAGGTAGCATGGGCCCTAGTGGTCCAAGAGGTAACATCAGTCCCAGTGGTCCGAAAGGAACCACGGGTCATAGTGGTCTAAAAGGTGATATGGGTCCTAGTGGCCCAAAGGGTACAATAGGTCCAAAGGGTAGCATGGGTCCTAGTGGTTCCAGAGGTAACATCGGTCCCAGTGGTCCGAAAGGTAGCACGGGTCTTAGGGGTCTAAAGGGTAATATGGGTCCCAGTGGTCCAAAAGGTAATATGGGTCCAAGTGGTCCAAAAGGTAATATGGGTCCAAGTGGTCCGAAAGGTAACATGGGCTTTCGTGGTCTTAAAGGCAGCATTGGCTCTCATGGGTTAAAAGGTATGAAAGGCGAAAGAGGACAACCAGGATCAAGGGGAGCTCAAGGCATTAAAGGGGCACCTGGTTTGAGAGGAGCCCAAGGTTATAGGGGATATACAGGTAGTAAAGGTGTAAAAGGAGACAAAGGTTATAGAGGATACACAGGTAGTAGAGGCCCCAAAGGAGCCAGTTGGTATGGGAAATAAACTTTGAAATAATAGACCTTCGATAAATCTTAGGCCCTTTTGATGAACCAAAGAAACTAGTGTACGAATGGTTAGAATTATGCATGGGTTTTGAAGAGGAAGTCCATGATTTATGTAATATCATATTTTGCACAGATCAATGTTGACCTGTTTCTTCCCTGAAACACCAAAAATGACTTGATAAGCAACAGGGTGTATGATTTACTGGATTGTTACATAGCTTTATTTCTATATATTTTATTTCTTATTTCTATAACTTCTATAACAATATAAATGGGTTTGGTGTGTTTGGAACATCGTAAGAGATCTATTTTTAGCACGACAAAGATGGTATGTTTTATATAGAGTACGCACTGTCGGTATATACTGATGAATCTGCTTTTACCAGGTTATACATTATATGAGCCTTAGCACAGGAAAACTGGTCTTATCACAAATATTAAAAATGTGCTGAGGATTAAGAGGAAATAGGCTAAATTCAAATCCGTTTTTTGGTATCTGAAAAGAGCATTTTTTAAGACATGGCTTATTTGAAAGGTCTCGTTGTGCTTTTTAAGATAAACAAAAAATCAAAATATTGAACAAATCTGTGTGATAAGACAACTTTTCCATATTAGTATATTATATATTTTTTATTATTTAGCAGTACATTTTCTTTGACACAAGTTGTATCTGTATCTGTAGCAATACAGAGGATCGCAATACAGGATATATTCTGAGTATTATCGTTGTATCAGAATTCAGTTTGGGCAATAAATAAATGAGTAGTCGATTTTCTATCACCATTTCCAAACCATGGTTTGAAAGCCCATAGTTTCCTATACATATCCCCTGAAAGGAGTGGTATCGATATGGAGAACTTTTTGAACACACGTTTCTCTTAAACCTGTCATAAAAAATCTAAAAATTTAACACATCGTTAATTTAATGGGTCATCTTTTGAATGGCAACAATATGATTTGAAAAATATATATATACTTTCATCTATATTGTTTTAGAAAACACATCAAACGCTTGTTTTTTTCTTGGTATCACGTTTCCAGAGTGAAATGAAACATCTTTCCGAACCTCATTGAAACAAAACGACATAAACACAACATGTTTAGGTCTCTCAATATTGTTATTGTACAACTTTAGGAAATTTTGGTTGATTTTAAAAAAAGTATCTTGTTAATGAAATCAAAGGTTTATCTTGATTTTTATCTATTTTGGGGGGATTTTGTTTTAATTTTTTAAATACTTCTTTAAAATCAACGAAAAATTCCTTTGTATAACTATAATATTGAGAGGTCTAAAAACATGTTGTATATGCTATCTTGTTCCAACAAGGTTCGGAAAGACATTTTATTTCATTCTCGAGAATTGATAGAAAGGAGCAAAATCAATTGCACTAAAAAAACAAAAAATGTTAACAAAAACAGTTATATAAAATATTTCTAAATAATTTTCGCATTAAATTGTTGTCAATCAGTCAACATTACATAAAATACCGTGGTTTTTTACAGAATGTTTTCAATGATTGGTTTAAGAGAAAAACATTGTTGAATTCAGTTCTCCATATCGATACCAATCCTCTGTATATTTTACATTTTTACTCTCATTCACTGACTTATGGCCGCCTGAAAATTCTCTTATTTTTAACATGGGAATCCATGATTAATCATTTATTGCCCAAACTTTTTGTAGCAATATTGTTGCATCAAAAAATCAATATTGTTGCATCAAAAAAAACAATATTGTTGTATCGAAAAAAAGCAATATTGTTGCATCAAAAAAGCAATATTGTTGCATCAAAAAAGCGATATTGTTGCATCAAAAAATCAATATTGTAGTAAAAAAAAGCATTGTTGTATTGAATGAAATAAATCATTGTTTTATCCATTAAATAACTTCACAACTTATTGGAAATGTGATAAAGAATTATAATTATTATATACCCCTCTGCAATAAAATAGCATGACCTAATTCTTGTTACCAATATTATAGTATCTTTCAGTTTGTTGCAATTAAGTAACTAATTAGGCCTACTTCATAAGTGCAATATAAGTTTGATGAAGGTGTACATGGATTTCACGAGATGTAGGCAGAATCAATTCACGACCTCTTTAACATAAGCGGCAAGGGCCGTAAAATTATGGAAATTAACTTGGACTTGGGTCTTCCACTTTCTGTGAAATTACATCGACAAAGGCCTGTTGCTTGCTCATGTTAGGAGAGGAGGGCTTGGAATAGTATTGGAAATAGTATTGGAAGGTGCTGTCATCTTTAAATAAGAAGCTGGACAGATTGTATTGTATTAATTACAAAAACGCTTTCTGAGAATTTTGACAGACACTTGTCTTAGAGATCACATTTCAAGCAATTTTAAAAACTATCAAACTCGGTGATATCCATAAACTATTGCAGTTGTATCAATTGTTCAAAAATGCATCCATGAGGTGAAAGAAGTTATGATTTCCCACTTTAGCAATTATTTTATGAATTATTTTATTGAACTTAATAAGCCTATAATACGGGGCCTAATACTATATGATTGAACACACGCGAAACAAAGTTAATTTATATGGCACTTGAAGATGTTGCCACCTTTAAATGACAAAAGGAACTAACAAAGGGGTTGATTGCAACATGCATGAAATGACATAAACAGGTAAACCAAGGCTCTGGTAACCCTACTATCACACCAAACTAGTTCTCACTACGTTCTCGAAAACGGGCTTAAACTGTGCACGAACAGATTTGACGTACTAAGAATAAGAACCCACTAAGAACCGTTTGGGATCTGTTTACAAACTTCATGAAACTTCTAGAACGAGTAGGTCCTCCAGCACTAAGAGCATGCTCAAAATTTTCTGGTGATCGTCAAAACGTTGCCGTATCGGTTTTAAACTGTGTGCGAACTGAATGAACGTAGCTACAACGTTCTACGTTCTGTTTACGAACTTCATGGACTTTCCCGGACGGGGTAAGTGATTTAGAATCTTGAATCGATTCAAAATTCGATGGCGACCATACCGTTCTGTAATCAGGTCATGATGACCTTCTAGACTAAGGGACGGTTTATAGTTTATACTACGTTGCACACCGACGTGGTGCGACCTGAACGAACTGCGAACGTGATGGACGTATTGAAAACTGTTTATGAACGAAGTATCTAATTATTTTAGACATATATCCCGACTGCAGCCAGATCGAGCCCGTTTTACGACATTTTCGTAGGACTGGCAAGGACGGGTAAGAACTAGTTTGGTGTGATAGGGGGGTAACCCTACTATCACACCAAACTAGTTCTCACTGCGTTCTCGAAAACGGGCTTCAACTGTATACGAACGGACTGGACCTACTAAGAACAGTGTGGGATCTATTTACAAACTTCATCGAACGTACTCGAACGGGTAGGTCCTCTATAACTTAGACAATGCTCAAAATGTTCTCGTGGTCGTCACGTTCTACAATTAGAACGAGTGACAACGTACTAACGAAGAGCTGGACGTACTACGAACGGAACCGTCGTACTTCAATCATACTAGGGACGTTTTAACAACGAGTTGAACTGTCTGAGGACGTGTTGAGAACGAGGTAGAACTAATTGCAAACGGGTTTAAACTGATTAAGAACGTATTTAACACTGCTTATGAACGAGTTAGCAAAAATATAGCTATCACACCAAACAAGTTGCCACTGCGTTCTTCAAAACTGGTTTTAAACTGTGTGCGAACGGAATGAACGTAGCTGCAACTTTCTAAGGTCTATTTACGAACTTTATGAACGTTCTCAGACGGGAATGTGATTTTAGAATTTTGAATCGATTCAAAATTCGATGACGACCATACCGTTCTGTTATCAGGTCATGATGACCTTCTAGACTAAGGGACACGTTCTACGACGTTGCACACCGACGTGGTGCGACCTGAACGAACTGCGAACGAGATGGACGTATTGAAGACTGTTTAAGAACGAAGAAGCTAATTATTTCAGACATATTTCCCGACCACAGCCAGATTGAGCCCGTTTTACGACGTTTTCGTAGGACTGGCAAGAACGGGTAAGAACTAGTTTGTTGTGATAGGGGGGGTAAGCGAGTAGGATAAGGCTCAGTGACTGACTGATAGCCTTAGAACATATTCAAATGAACCAAAAGAGAAAACAGAAAATGACTTCAAATGTGTTGATACGAGTTCTATGAAAAAATAAATTGTGTAATGAGAAGTGCATTTGATTGTGCTAGCCCAATCTTGGTTCACTTTGAATAAGGAAACACTATGACCTACACGAATACGTATGTTATTTGCCATATATGCAAATTCCCTCGACAACATATCACAGTAAGTTAAAAGTTATTGGCGTGAGGGTCGAGTTAAAGTATGAGATAGTAAACAAGCGTTCGCGTGCATTTTGGTGACATAAGAAATACTGTCATCGAGACAGTGAGAAACCCATTTTTAAAAATGGAAAACAAAAGTGTTAAGACCTGATTTTGATCTGGAAATGCCAGGAAATTTACAAAATGACCAGAGTGCAATATTCACTGTGTATCATACATGTATATCACTGTGTGTTGTGTTCTCAAAATCCCCAGTTAAAATGTTTTCATTTAATTTATTAGAATAAATGGGAATCAAATGACAAAAAAACAACAAAAAACAACTACACCCATATGAGTCAATCAAATTCCAATTACAATTTTCCTCATTGAATAAAAATGTAAAAAAGATATCTGCTTGTATATATGCAAGACAATGACTTGAGTATATTGAAACTGGTATCTCATTATGGGAGTTGAATGGAAAGATTCTAAAATCGCTTTTCTACTATTATATTAAAGTCTAGACTTATGTTTCTGTCAATTTAAGTGGCAGCAAGTCACAGAAATTGTACCATGTGAGAAATAATCTTCTCGATAAACATGCCAACGTACCGTTTTCCATGGTATATGGATTATTTGAAAAAATATATGATATATATATTCAATCAAATATGATAGTAATTGATTAATTATA